TGACTATGTTTCTTTACTAAACTGATTAAAAATATGGAGTTAAATACACTGTGGTGAATTTGACCATTTCTTAGCAGGTCTGTAATGCACCAGTAGCGTGCATAATAGTGTATAGACACTTGAATATAGCTAAAAAAAACTTACATTCCTATAGCTTATCTGTAGAATAAAAAAGAACCCCCCTTGGCACAAAGTCTAGACTGTATGCTGCTATGAAAACAAGAAATAGCACATTACATAGCTTCTCTCTTCCTAATTCCCTTTCTCGCGCCAATCCTAGCCAAACTAAACATAGACAGACTATTCTTACAAAGTTTTTACATAATTTGTTATAAATTTATTGTTCTACTATCACCAGAACTTTTCCAGACTATTGTGCTGTCAGTTTCTAAAAATACGAAGATAAATAGGGGTGTGGGGTTAGTCATTTCCCTCAGATATCATTTGGCTGAAATAATTAAAAAGAAAAGAAATAGTAAAGACAACAATTTTAATAAATATCTCTAGGCTCTGCACATAATCAATTCACTGTTATTTCCATAGTGGTAACTTAAGACTTTGCAGAAATTCTCGTGATAGCATAAATACAGAGTATTACTATCCTAAACATTTTATAGATCTCTTAAAAATAAACAGGAGAATACTAATGTAAGTCGTTTGTCAAGTTCAGGGATCTATATGAGAAAAGGAGCATTTAAATTAAAGTTCTGAGTGACCCATAAATGACAGTACAATATTAATATTCCCTTTCAATACATTCATTTGGAATTTTTCTTGTAGAATCTAAAAATACCTGATTCAGTAAAAGGCATTTCTGATCTGTGGTCTTGAGCTATCTCGAAAGCTTAAATTATTGAAATTATAAAATATAATTAACAAATAAATAAAATGGCTGGAATAGCTTGGTCGGTAGGGCGCTGGACCCATGTCCGAGAATTCGAACCCCCGCCGGCCGGATACTCCCTGTGTAGTAAAATGGTGACTGATGCACGTTAAATCTGTGGAGTCGCAAAGTCCTCCATGTTCCCAAAACAAATCAATACCTCTAGGTGTACAGAATTGGAGTTTGATTGTTTTCTGATTCAGGTCAAAATTATGATCTATGGATGGATGAATGGGTCCGCCTTATAAACGGGTGTGACGTATGGGTGTAGCAGAAGTCGAAATCTTGGCCATAGATGACACCACTGGAAAACAAGAACAATCACACTACTCTGCCTTAACAGGCATATGAAAGAGAGAGAGAGAGAGTAAATAAACAGAAATAAAGCAATTCATAAATGTTAGAGTAGTACATTTAATAATAATAATATTAATGATAAAAAAGAGAATGATGTTGGGTATATTTTGATGAATGTGGCAACTACCATTGACAAGGGTAAAAAAGTTTTTTTTCTTCCTTCTTTTTTTTTAAAAAAAAACAACTCACAGATGTTTTTGAAAAAAGAAAAATATATATAATGGTTTGTCTTGGGAAGGTTATAAATTACACCATTCCAGTTGGTTCAGCTGATACTTTCTCCTTTAGTTAATCGTGTGCCCCAACCCGGTTGTTGCTATGACATGGTCATGCTTCGGTACAGGTACCAATATGCAAATCTTACCATGATAATTAGTGACCCTGGAAATATCTCAAGAGTGGGGGGTGGCTCTCTCCCTCTCTCTATACATATATTAGTATTAATTGGGTCTGAATTATCTTTAACTCCCAAATTGGCAAACAAGAACTCAAAGTTGCAATTTTAACTTTAACTTCATGATTAGAATTGTTATAAAATTGAAATAAAATTAATAAACGAAATTGTCAACCTTTAAATTATTTATTTCTCATTTTTAAAAAAAAAATTCTATTTTACTATTTGTTTTTATTTTATTCACTGTGACATTCAAAACCAAGAAAATTTTTTCTCATCCGTTAGCAATAAGGACATATATTTATTCTATAGAGGAATGAGTAAGCGATGATTTCATGTCAGTTATTACCAAGGAAATATAAAAGCTCGTTTGCAACAGACAATTTTTTCTTTAGAATTCAGACACAAAAAATTATTTATTTTTTAAATTTTAATTTAAGTTCTAGGACACATGTGCAGAAAGTGCAGGTTTNAAGAACAATCACACCACTCTGCCTTAACAGGCATACGAAAGAGAGAGAATAAGTAAACAGAAATAAAGCAATTCATAAATGTTAGCGTAGTATATTTAATAATAATAATATTAATGATAAAAAAGTGAATGATGTTGGGTATATTTTGATGAATGTGGCAACTACCATTGACAAGGGTAAAAAAGTTTTTTTTCTTTGTTTCTTCCTTCTTTTTTTTTTTTAAAAAAAAAAACTCACAAATGTTTTTAAAAAAAGAAAAAATATATAATGGTACGTCTTGGGAAGGTTATAAAGTACACCATTCCAGTTGGTCCATTCCGTGATTTTTTCTCCTTTAGTTTATCATAGCCACAACCCCGTTGTTGCTATGACATGGAGATGTTTTGGTACAGGTACCAATATGCAAATCTTACCATGATAATTACTGACCATTAAAGTATCTCAAGAGTGGGGGGGGGGGCAGCTTTCTCCCTCTCTCTATATATATTAGTATTAATCGGGTTTGAATTATCTTTAACTCTGAAAAAGGCAATCAAGAATTCAAAGTTGCAATTTTAACTTTAACTTCCTGACTAGAATTGTTATAAAATCAAAATAAAATTAATAAACGAAATTGTCAACCTTTAAATTATTTATTTCTCATTTTCTTTTTTTAAAATTCTATTTCACTGTTTGTTTTTATTTTATTCACTGTGACATTCGAAACCAAGAAAATTTTTTCTCATCCGTTAGCAATAGGGACATATGGAATAAATATTCCATAGAGGAATGAGTAAGCGATGATTTCATGTCAGTTATCACCAAGGAAATGTTAAAGCTCATTTATGACAGGTAATTTTTTCTTTAAAATTCAGACACAAAAAATTATTTATTTTTTAAATTGTAAATTTAATTACATAAATATTTTATGAAAAATTGCTGTCTTAGAAAAGGTTGAGTTCTTTTATTTAAAAATCTGTGGGGAGGGGGGGGGGGCTAAAGCCCTCTCTGCTTCCCCCCGTTTTTTGGGTACCTGTTGATAACCCAGTCACACATTACAGTACATCGTTCTCGATGTATCTTCATGGTTTTGCCTCACCTTTTGTGGCTTGTAAAAATTTTTTAAAATCTGCAACATTTTAGCACGTTTTGATCCATGGGCAATAATAGACTTGCGAGTTCAATGGTAAAAATATTGTACAGATCTCAATATAATTTACTTCATCATCATTTGGATGTGAACTTGTGTTTAATATTGTTGAGATAGCTTTGCAAGACAAAAGTAGCAATTCTTCACATGTGATAACCATTACTTGGGAGCTAGACAAATTGCCTCCGAGGGAAACTAGATAGAGCATTCGAGATTCTTCTGTACTAAAAAAATAAGGCTTCGACTACTTACCTCAACTGCCAACTGTTTTTTTACAGTGCTTGAAAAAACGTTAACTTTAAAAAATGAAAAGCATGACATGTACCAAATTTTAGCCTCTTTTCCACAGCTTTTTGATACTCGATATATTTCCATATCAGTACCGATTTTCACCAACTAACGTGTCTATTACCAGTTACTGCCAAAACGGGGATATTTCTGTATCGTGATCTGTTGCGCCAACTACAATCGCCAAGGTGCCAAATAGATTTAAAATTTGCAAATTTAAAAAAGAAAAAACATGTATATGCAAAGCTTGACTAAGGCAGAGGCATATGAGGCAGTTGCCCCGGGCCCCCAGATTGAATAGAAGGTTTATTTTACGTTTCCTTCTTTAATGAACTTTTTTCAAACAAAATATCAGTACAATGTGAAACCCCTCAGTTTTACGTTAGCTTCTTTATTAATCTATCGTACGAACACAAAAAAATCTATATTTCGTAAATTTATAGGTTTCTAAGGCGAAATTTTGCTAAATTTTCGCAATTACGATGAGCAAATTTGGCCAATCAAAAGCCTTTATTTTTACACATCACAAAATGCGATATGTTCACAAATATACCGGCTTCTGATTGATCTAACTAAGCCATCGTAATTGGGAAAATTTAGCGGAATTCCGAACTAATGTCAGCAAGAGTGTGATTTTTTTGCAACTAGATGACAAAGTTAACAAGCAGAAAACTGCATTTGGCATGATAGATATAGAATTGTCAAAAAATCAATAAAATGGACAGAACGATATTTCGTCTGACCATTGGATAATTTTAGGTTCAAGTCAATTTTCTTGTTATATATGTAAAATGAGGTGAAAAATTTAAATACCTCCATAAAGTTCGGTTCTTCATTATTGAAGTAGTGAAGCAGAGGGGGGGCCCTAATTAGACTTAATCGGGCCCTGTGTATATGTTTGCTCGGGGGTGGCTACGGGTTATACCTTTCGAGTTGGCCCTTTTCCGTGATGTTTTTTTTTTAGATTCTTGAGTGCTGCTGACTGGAAGTTTTCAAGACTTTGCGATTATTCTTCCACAGATCGCGATACAGAAATCTCTGCTGCTAAAACTCGGTGACTATTTTGTGGCAAGTACGGATTATACAAATATATAAGAAAAGATTTGATCATGATAATATTTATAATCAAATATATAACATGTTCATAGAAACGTTTTATTCGCATTTGTTACGTAGATTTTAAAGTCAATGCAATAGATTATTTGTAAAACATAGGCTAAACAATTAGTACAGAGTGAATCAACTTTAAGACATCAGAGGATTTCAGATTCATTACTTTAAATGGATCTAGTACATTTATTAATAAAAATGACAGTTAAAAATACATTTTTTAAATAAATTTTCCCGTCAGTGATCGAATTTAAAACATAGATGGAATCATTGATAAAATATGTTAACATTATTTGATTTCTATGCTTAGAATTAGAATGGATATAAATTTTTAAAAATACAGAGGTAAAATTTGGTGTAAATTACCGGGAAACTGCTTTAATCCACCTCCAAGAATTGAATCGAACTGAAATGAAAGTTATCATATTCTTTGCTTAATTAATATTACACCTTAATGTTCGAGTTTCATCAGTCATAATGAAAGCGTTAATTAATAAAGTTTAAAGTGAGAGCAGACGTCACAACAAATTCGCATTTTGTTTCGGGTTGATTTACAATAGTATATGTTTAGTTGTTCCTCGCTGATAACGACCTTTAATGGGACCTTTCTAATATATCCAAACGATTCCTTTATTATTAAATATTATTTTACATGTAATTAATTATTAACTAGGCTTCTCATTGTTTTAGTGAAATAGTTTTGTAATACCAGAGTATTGATAAAAGATTTTAAAAATCATGGCTACCGTGTTCTGTTTCTCCGTATTAGTTTTGATTGAATGGCAATGATATGTTACGCGGTACGCGCCAAATTTTATGTTTGTTTTTCATTAATCGTACTTTTTGTTACTTTTTGAAGATTTAAAAAGATTTATTCGCATATCTGAATATTACAATTTATATTTTGAAGTATTCATCTTTTTAGGTTCTAGTCCGTAATTTTTTTCTTCTTTACCATTGATGTTAATTGTTAGTTTTGATTATCTTATCTGTTTACATGGATTCTGATAAGTCAGGTTTGCATATTTTCATTTTTCAATTATGAATCTTAAACTTATTCAACAATAACATTTCCTATACATTTTATTTATAATAATAAATTCATTATTTATGTATAATTATGTTTTTTTAATGTTAATATTGCAGTCGGAAAAAGTCATTGATTGAGAACACATAAAATTAATTTGTTTTTCAGATGTAAATATTTATAGCATTCTTGTTGAAAAACTCACTTTAAAATTCTCAAGTAATAAATTATGATTAGTTACTTTTTACGGAATAGTGAAGCTTTCAATTTTATCATATCAATAACCTGGTAGTTTCACTTGGTTATTTGAAGGATTTCCAGTTTATGCAAAAGTTTATATTCATAATATGGAAATACACTCAGAAATGAAATTATAATTTTTTATTTGATCATTGTTTTACAAAGTTAATTTTAATATACTATCTTGTTTCAATATTAATGCAATCAGTAAAAAGTAAGAAAATAAATTTTAATTAATTGAATTAAAAATTATTTGAAAATGCTTTATTTTTCAATCTAGTTATGTCCTATTTCACACTGACATGATCTGTCACCTATTTTTTTGTCCTTGGACTACATAACTGCTTGTAATTTCTTATGCATAGTTGTTGAATAATTTTAGTCTGTTTAATTGGATAGACAGTGAAAATCTATGAAATACCACTTATTTAATATTATGTAAGACGCAAAAAAAGTCTAAAGCCCAGTAATTTCTTAAGTTTATGTAATAATTAATGTTTTTCTCTAATATTGTAGAGGAAAGTGGAGTACGTTCTAAACGTACAAAGCATGATAAGTTTGGTAGGTTTGCTGCTTTAGAAAAATTAAAGTCCTTGAAGGGAACAAAACATAAATATGAGGTAAGTGTATATAATAAATTTATTTTTTCACTTTAAAATTTATATATTTCCTTACGTTTCTTTTTTATTTTTACAACTTTATATTAATGATTTTATTACAATGAATTTTCAGATCATGTTATATTCTTTTTAGTGTTTCCACTGCAGTGAATTTTATTTTTAATGTTTTTTTGCTAATTTTTTCCAGTAAAGACTTAAAAGAGAAAATATGTATTTATCTTTGTAGTTAAGCTTTTTTTGAGTAAAACTTAAACTGTCAAAATTGTTATATGTCTTTATATGTGACAACTATTGTCAGCTTTTCTGTGTTTGATAGTATGTCTTAAGCCTTTAATTAACTGTCAACTGAAATTTAGTTCTAATTTATCTTGGTTTTTTTCCTGCAATGCAAAATTTTTTTATTCTGTGTTATTTTAATCAATATTTGATTTGGAAGCTTTTACTTTGCATATATTATTGCCTAACTATATTAAGACAGACAAGTTTTAATTTCTCTAAATCCTTTATTTGATTTATTATTCTTTTTTATGCTTATTATGGACCAATACAAAATTCGGTTTAGTTTTTTTTAATGATTAATGTCTCCAAATTATTCTTAGGTTGTTGAAGAATCTAAAGTTTATGAAGAAGTTTCAGAGAAAGAATTTTCCCGTCTTGTCCAAGAGCGTCAAGAAGAAGACTGGATTATTGATGATAGTAATGCCATATTCTAGTCTTTTACACTGAGCATTCATTTTTACCTATTACATTAACAAATCATTTTGAAATTTTTTATGCAAAAGTTCTTTTAATTTTTTGCTTTTAGCTGGTACAACAAATGGATCAGAATAACTAGCTGCAGCATTCTAAGCATTGTAGGCAAAATTGCAGTTTTCGTTAGCGTTTGTTTTTACAGAAGCATTATAATATTAGTATCAATGTTTCTGTGTCCCACTGTGGACTGGGTGCAAGGTATCGGTCCTCGTTAAACTGTTCTACCGTAAAGTGCTCGACTACGCGCTGGTCGTCAGGTTATCGAAAGTAGGCAAGCCATCCCCTCTGCAGAGGAACAAAATTCCAATGGCATATCTTAGAATCATCGTCGTCAATGTTTCCCAGACCGTCGCCAATTGCCCATTGTGCAGCCTAGTGCGACGTAAATAAAGTACCTATCTACCATCTAAATAAATCTTTTAAATTTGTTTATTTATTCGCTTTGCATTTAGTCAAAAATAAGTGGCAGCAACCTCAGATAATTTCGATTAAATGAATTTTAATGTGTGTAAATATTAACATTAATTAAATGGAAAATTATTTTACATTATAGTTTCATAACTTCCTAGATTTCTTGCCCAGTTGCTGTGATTTAACTTTGTTTTGCAGAAGGTGGTGGCAGAAAGATCGTTTTATAGTATTGATAATCAAAATAAGGCATTACATCGTCCGGGTAAAAATCTTCATGCCTTCTTTAAATTTATAATTCTTTTATAATCTTAAAAAACTTCTTTTCAAGCAATATATCTATCTGTAATGTTTAATTTATTTTGCTTAAAATTTTACTCTTTCATATTTTGTGTTAAATGTAACTACTACTTAAATCTTCAATGTTTAACTATAATGTGTAGGGAAATTAACCACTTTAGTTAATTTCCTTAAACATGGTAGTTAATTCACTATTTATTTGCATTTTTTTGACAAGTTATAAAATTAAGGTGAATTGTATAATAATTTTGACAAGTTATTATATAATTCACCTTACTCTAATTCTGTCTATTCTTTTATATTATAATTCTGTTTCAAATCAGACATTCAATTGGTTCAATGGATGAAAAAGATTGGTGCATATCTAAATAAAATTAAAATAACTATAGTACTTTCTTAATATTCTGCCAGTTTATCTGTTTTTGAAATTCATTTTATCTCATGATTTTCTCGTATCAGATCTATCATAAGTTTGATTTTTTTTTTACGGTGTATGCATAATATAGCACACTCATATTATAATGTATGTTTTTGTTTAGGCAACAGAAACATTATTTCGAGCAGAAGCATGATATGTACTATGTATATTTTTATGTACATGATATGTACTATGTAGTAGTAATATTTTTTTCTTCATACAAATAAGAAATATTCCCATAATTTTAATTACATTATATAAATATTTTGTATGGGTTTATAATTTATCATTTTTGTATGAAAGAATGTTTGAAAATTATATCATATTTTTTTATGATAGATGGCAGTGGTTATGTAGAAGATGGACGTGAAATTTTTGATGATGATGTTGAAGGTGACATCTACACTGGTGAGTGCTATTTTAGTTCTAAAAATATAAATTTTTCTGTTTTGAATTCAAATTGTCATGGTGTTATGCTTATATATAATTCAGGAGTATGTAATAAAATTAATAAAACTATAAAAGTTCAAATTATTAATATTTAGCTTTAATAAGGACACATTATAATAATAATCGTCATTAAATAGCATACCAATTTCTAAGTTTACAACAACCATTGTTCAACTCCACAGCCTTGTAATTTTGAACCAAATCCAGTAGACAAGGAAACTCATGATCAAATATTTAGGGAAATTCACCTCTATGGAGGTCTTTTTGATTAAACTATCTCACATTTGCATTACATGTCAAGGAAAACCTCCAACCGTTAGCCTGATGGCAAGGGGACTCTAACTTATGATCTGTTTACCGCTGTGGGTATTTTGCGTCAGCACTGTAATGTATCGAAATTTGCATCGACCAGTCAGCGCCAGGATTCATCGAGTGGCGAGCGCTCTATCTCCTGAGTCACCGCAGCTTTAGGAGCTTCAATTAAAGAAGAAAACATGATTTCTATGTTTGCAATAAGATGCTTTTGTATTGAGTAGGTGTTAAATAACAGCCTAATACATAAGATATAGAAATTATGGAAACTTGTAAAGTACATGTATACTACAGTTCATTGTAAAAATGTCACAATTGGTGAAAATGTAGCTGATCACTACATTGTCCAAGCCTTTTTAATTCTTATCATTTTATATTTAATTTAGACATTTTATCTTTTGTTAATGTTGTTTTCAGTCATCAAAGGCTTTAATTGTTTTCTAATATTGCCGTATGCATAAAGTGGCTTTAGTTTATTATTGTCTTCAGTAAGAGTTTTATCAACAATTAAGTGATAGGAATGATTGCTCTATAATTTCAGAAAGAGTTAAGATTCAATAGATTTGGTTGAATTTTTGATTTTTTGTTTCATATTTATTGGAAACATGATATTTTAGTGCTTATTTTAATCTGTTGTATCTAAACTTGTCATCCTTATTTTTGCATTTTTCAATAGATGCTCTGTTGATTTAAACTTTATTAGAAGATCAAATCCAATTGCGTTCTTGAAATTTAAAAAATTATACTTAAAATTTTCTTAAGGTAAAATATTAGAATGGTATTAAAATTAGGGTTGTTAGGTGAATAGTGATTTGGCCGAATACAAAATATTTGGCAGCCAAATAGCTAAGAAATAAACGAATTAAGAAAAAATCATTAATAGATAAAGATGTAAAGTTAAAAAAAAAAATTCTTTTTATTCTTAAAACAAAAATAAATTTTCCAGAATGATAAAATGATATTAAAAAAAAAAAAAATAAAAGACTGCTAAAAATAACATTTTCCAGAAAAAAAAATTTATCCATAAGACATATTAAAATGGACAATGTCTATCAGAAACGCTTTTAAAATAGAGTGCTATCATAAAAATGTTTATAAAAACAAAAATTATATACAAAAGTATAACAGAAAAAATTAAAATTGATCTCAATTTTTAAAAGAAAATTTTAAAGCTAAACATTTCAGTTTTCCAATTAGTGTATTTTCAAGAAAAAGTGAAGATTAAAGTCCAATAGAAACACTCTTAATTGTGGCATCATAAAAAAACGCCTATAAAAAGATAAGTTTTTTTGAAAAGGAAAAGGCTAGATTGAAACCGTTCTTAATTTTTAAACGAAAGATTTTAACACTAGAAATCTTAATTTAATCCTTTCACGTTGCCTTGTTTATAGAAAAAATTAACCATAAGAGAATATAACGTATATTAGAAATCTCTTTAAAAAATGCTGTCCTAATAAAAACGCTGATAGAGAGAATAGTTAATAAAAAAAGAGGAACAAAAAGCATTGTTCTCAGTTCTGAAATATGACTTTAACATCGGGAATCACAGTCTTCTATGTTACTAGTTATTTGTCTTACTGCAAAAGAAAAAAGTGACAATAAAAGAATTATGTTTAATATGCTTCGTTAAAATAGAAAAACGAGCAAAAATAAAACAAAAATAAAGTTTTTGATTTTTAAAACATAAAGTGTTGTAAAGGGAAAAGCAATGTGCTTGACTTGCCTGAGTTTAATTAAAAAAAAAAAAAANCAGCATTACAAAGTTCATGGTTCTGCATAGAGTAATCTAGTTTCAATTCTTCATATTTCGCCTTCCCATGTTTCTTTTAGAACATAGATTAACAAGTTTTAGAACTTGACAAATATGTCTAAAATCTATTTCTCATAATGAATAGTAAAAATATAATTTTAGACTACTCTTTATTAAATCTTATTAAATTTCTCCCCCAAAAATTTTATCAAAAACTTATTTTCAAAATAATACTTTGTTGAATATTTGGCCAACCAAATATTCTACAAAACATACAAATAGGCCTAATAGTAAATATTTGTTTCATCCCTAATTAAAATTATCTTCCTAGTATTTTCCTTTAATTTTAATCTTGTTTTCTTTTTTGTTAAAGATGTATAAATTTTATTTTTACAATTCATTCTTAAGCTGTGATTATTATTTTCCTTTATTTTTAGACAAGAAAAATAAGCAAATTCCCAAAAACAGTTTTGCTGGACCTCAGAAGAGAGATGTTAAAAAAACAAATGACATCAAAAATATGTTCAAGTCCTTGCCAACAAAAAGAAAAATTGAGGTAGGACCATTTCGTTAGTGATATTAATTATTTGTGGCATTGATGTGTGTATGTTCTAACAAACTATAGCAGCTTCAAAAATTTTCTTAGGGGAGCACAACTTCGAAAAATATTACAAAAATTGTGAAGAGATATTTTTAATTTGAGAAAACATTTGTACTTGTGGAATTTTTTTATCAAATAAATTTCAATATCTGATTTAATGTAACTAAACGAAAGGTTTTTAGCGTATTGTTTCAGTTTAAAATATATATATATTTTTAAAAAAAATTCATGTATTAATTTAAACATGATATGAGTTCAAAAGAAAAGAATACTTCAGTGCTTAATTATCATTATTTTATAATTTATGTTTAATTAATTTGTTATCAAAATTTGTAAGGTATGCATAAGATAATATTCTATTATAAATATTTAAAAATATGTAAGTGAGGATTCTATATGTTGAAATATAATTTCATTTGTTTCTTTTATCAGTGCTTAAATAAATTAATTATTTACAAATTTAGATCTAGCACTTAGAATATTTGATTTCAATGTTAATGTGATGGTTTATGAAATTAGACAAAAATCCAGTTTACTCTTAACATGAGTTAAACAGATTTTTCACAGTCTCAGGGCATTCTAGTGTCTTTCCACTATATTTAGAATCATCTACTAATCTACTTTATAACCTTAATGCATAATTAAAAGCTTACTAAAATGTTAATTTTCATAAGTGAGTTAAAAATTGCAATTATTTTTACATCTTTCTTGATTTCTCAATTGTCATTTTTTCCTTCCTTTTATAGCAAGAAGTAAAACTAGAAGATGATGACATACTGGGTAGCATTATGGAAGATCTTCATAAAGAAAAAGATATGTTCTGCAACATGCCTAAACCTGTTGTGCTTCGTAAGAAACATAAAGTGAATAATTCCCAGTCTCCTATTCAACGGTATTGTTCCTTTTTTTCATGTTTACCTTTTTTCAATTGTACTGCCAATTTATCTGTGTGCCCATTCGGGTTGGCATGGTACAAATTATTTTATAAAAAATTTTTTTTTTTATATTTAAATTACCATAACTATTTTTTTAAAGGTATGATTTCATTGATATTGTGGATTTGATTCAGAAAAATTAATAGGAGGGGATAATTGCTATTTGTTGAAAGACTTGTAATTTATTATAATTGATTTCTTTAAAAACTGTTTCTCATCTATAATTTATTCCAAATTCGATATCCAGCTGATGAGATATTTCACATGGGTGTTGAAGTTGAATGAGAAAAAATAATATTAATCGACTGGTTATTTTAAAATAATTAATAATTCAAAAACTATTAATTGGAAATATTTTAATCCAGTTATATTACTACTTTTAATTAAATTAAATATTAATAATATTGAATTATATTTCTAACATTTTTTGTTAAATGTTATTAATGAATTTATGAGAGCATTAATAGGCAGATTTTTAAAAAAAAAAATCTGTTTTTTTTTCTTTTTTCTTTCTTTTTCTTTTCTTTTTTCTTTTCTTTTTCCAACCTTGGTCCTTATGAATTTTTGAAGTTAAATGGTTATAACTTAATTCAAAAATCTTACTCTATGTTTTTAATAAATGTTCATGAGCCATAATGGAAAGCTTTGGCAAAATTACATAATGCATTTTAATAATAAATCTATTTTTCTATAATTCTGCAAATAAACAGAGGTAATTAGAGGAAATTGGTCTGAAATTATCCTGTTACGCACTCTTCTCATTCTAGAAAACTGCTATTTTAATACAGTTATGCCAATAGTTCAAAGTAAATGCGTTATAAGTGCTCAGTAGATTAAAATGCTATTGTTGTCTTTTTAAAAAAAGTGAATTTAGAAATGAATATATATACTAGAGTATATGGAACAATCAGGGGCATTGTGAACTTCCAATTTTTAGGTGGGAGAATATTCTGATTTTACCGAATCATAAATTAGCAACCATTTTTATTCTTTTTTATTTAATAAACTTTATTTAATTTGTTCTTGATCATCTTAAATATCTAATTAAAATAACATAAAAAAAACTATCTGGTAAACATTGACATACTTTTAGTTGGTGATGAAATTTAAGAAATTTATCCTTATAGTTATTGTTGCAATTTTTATTTAAATACCACTAGAAAGCTTCTCAAAAAAGTGTGGCAGCTAAGAAATAAGTATGATTTTTCTAATACAGATCAAGCAGCAAGCATATACCTAATCTTTAAATCAAGTTTACTAACAGCTAAGGAAATACATTTGCTATAACTAACGTGAAATACTTTTTGTGTATAAAAATCAATCAAACTTTTAACCCTTTTATTTATTTATTATTCGACTAATGAACAATGAGATATTTAATTCATTAACGTCGCTGCATATTGAATATAAATTTATTGATAAAAAGCCATAATTTTTGTAAAATAAAGTGAATATAAAAATTTAATTCATTTGTTTCAATGAGAAAGTATAATTATTCTGTTACTATTTTCATAACATGTTATTCTTTTCCACTATTATATTATTGATTTAACAATTGTATTCTTTTTATTCTAGTCAATAAGGTAACTCAAAACAATTAGGTATTTTATTTACTATCCCACAGGCCGAATAATAAATAATGTGGTAATCAGAAAGTGTGATCAAATATTGAATAAAAATGGAATATTCTAGGTATCGTGCCCCCTAATAAAAATAATCCAATTTTTTTTTAATGGAAAGAATATTTGGCATTGTTGTGTCGAAGTGATGTAAAATAAACAAAATTTTTAATAATTTGTGTAAAATAAAGAATAAAGATCACACTGAGAAAAAAGCATGATCAAAAATACCAGAATATGTAATAATTTAGTGTGTTTCTGGCTGTACAGGAACACTAAAAAAAAAAGCTGGTTGATTTTTACTGAAGCTCTTCGGTAGGTAATGATTTTAGAAAAGCTAACAAAAAAAATCTTTATAATATATGATATGATTTTATCGTTACACCTTAGACCAAATGATTGGTTTAAATACCGTATATTTAGGTTTTCATTACTGGAATTATTATATTTTTTAACAGAAAAGTGATCATCGAATAGTGCAGTATTTTTGCCAGAACTTTCTTTCCCATGCAAAATTTTTAAAATTCGACTACTCTGAAACTGAATTGAAATTTATATAAAAAAATAGATAAGTTTTTTTTTTTAAATCTTAATTCATAAAAAAAAATACTAATAGTTTCCAGGTTTCCACTAAACTGAATTAGGCTGTGCAAAAAGGAAATCTTCGAATATGAGAATGGAGACTCTTGCTGTAATGGCTTTTCCTGATTCTTCTCTGCCAAGTTTTTGTGTCAGACTTAGTTTACAGCTCTATTTAATTTAATTTGGTTGTGTAAATTCTATTTAAAATTTCCTACATTTAATTTGGATCAATATAGCTTTAAATGAAAACAAACTAATCTAATTAAACTCCTTCTAAAATGTGTTTTTTATTTATTTTTATTTCACAACTTCTGTATCTTATGCACTAAGGAGAAGCATAAAATTAATAACGCTTATCAACCTATTTGTTATGAAATGAATTAAAACTTAAATTTTTGTGGCAGTAATTTTTTTTGTTTTTATTTTGTAAATAGCCATCAAATGAATCCATTCCTTGCAAGGCAAAAGACACCTTTAGCTTCAGATTATGTGCCAAAAACGGACGAAAGCCAAAAGTTGAGATCTGTTACTAACAGAAAACCTCTGCAGCCAAAAGTTGTGGATTTTGATAACAATATTGACAGTGGAATATTTAATGAAGATCCTAAAGATGAAGTTATTGAAGAGTTTTCTCAGGATCCAGGATTCAAAACTGAAATTGAAGAGAAAAATAAAATAGATATTCAGGAAACAGATAGCATGGATTTCGGTAAGTAAAATTTCTCTTCCTAGATTCAATCATTAGTTTTGTCTTGTTTGATATGAAATACTCTTTAATCATGGTGCGTAGCATTTTTAAAAAGTGCTTAAAGGTGCTTATTTTCGATTTTTAAAAGCTCTTAAAGGAGCCTTTTTCAATGGGTGTTTTTAAAAAGCGCTTAATTTTCCCTTTTCGAAAATAGGATTTTTTCTTTGCCATGTCGATTTTCGTCACGTATTATGCAAAAGCATGCTTTTCCCATTGTTCTATTCAACGTTTTCACAATTCATTTAACCACACTTTATTTTGGCTTACCGTCGGTCCATAGCGTATGAAAGCGCCAATCATGTTACAGGTTTGATGATATACTTGCGGTTCTGCATGTGCGTATACTGAGTTGGGTTTGAAAATATTATTGCAACTCTGCTACATTTTTCAAGATATTCTCAATTTCAGATTTCAATTTCCACTCTCTGATATGAAACCGAAAAATTTCTCGATCATTTTATAACAGCTAACGTAACCAAGAAAACAGTTCTTTGTCCGAAGCTAGTTATTTTCTCATGATCATCTAAAGTCTTTGAAAATTATTTTGCATTTTGTTAGCTTAAAAAGTACTTAAGAGGTGCTTATTTTTTGTTGAAAGATTTGGCTATGCACCTTGTTAATAGATTTGGAAGTACAAAATTGATTTGATTTATATGGCAGTTTATTTTTAATTTAGAAAATTTACTGGATTATCAAATGGAGTTAAAGGAAGAATAAAAAAATACATAAGAAAAAATCATTAAAAATTTTAATCTGCCTTGAAGTTTGCAAGATTTTGTTGTTGTCTTTTCAGCACATTTTTTAAATATGTTTTTAATACTAGTGCTACCTCAAAACTATTTTTAAAAAATGAATTCAGTAATTTTTGTCACAGAAATTTTTTTTTTAGGGTTTGATTCTAAATAAACATGGGTCTCTCGACCTCTTTGTATCGTAATAATATCTCCTTTTTTCCTGATTTTTAATTTATTTTAATGATAATTAATTCTTTTTAAGGATAGTTAATTCCAGCTCTTGTACGTAAAACTTTTTATTTAATTCTATTTATGAAATTTTTCGGTTACTTCTTTGCAATGTAAAACTTATTTTTTTGTTGACAGACTACAATCGAATTGTTAGTAAATTTAAACATTTAAAATAACTGAATTAAAGTTTTTAAATTGGTTTGGATGTTGTACAGAAGAAAAAGCATGGTTATTTTTTAATTCTTTAGTTTTTTTTAAAAAAAAAGTATATTATGTCTTCAATTGTCGTTGAAGGAGTATGCAATTTTAAGACCAATAACATGAACGTGATGAGCATTGTGTATGAGTTGCCTCTACTTCTTAGTGTAGCTGAGTTTTGTGAATTAGAAACTGGGTAAGCTTCAAGCCACCTCTGGGGATAGAACCTTGTACCGTGATTTTGTAAACTGAGTATTTAAGTGTCTATTCCCAGCTCAGTGATTAAATATCTATGCCATTACAAGCTCATAGTGTTTGATAGACTTGCTTAATTTAGATAAGAATCACAGAAATTAAACTAAAATTAATAAGTTAATATGGATTAAAATAACTAACAAACTCAAATTAATAAAGGATTTTTACAATGTTACGAATGAGTATTTTGATGAAGTTGTTAATCATATGAGAGGATTATTCCTCTAACCTGATTAATAATTCATAAATTATTGATTTCTCATAGTACAATTAAACAGGTTTTTTATGTATTATTATTCTTAGTTTGATAAGTTTTATATAAATTGCATTTGAAATCTAGAGTTCTCCCGTGATCATTTTCTTTCTTTTTTTAACTTTGTTATTTTATTTTTTATTGACAGATCACAGTGAAGATATCTTTAATGATTGTGAAAATTTATTGTCTGAAGCCATTAGTGAGTCTAAACCTGTTGAAGTGGAAGCTAATGTGAAACAAACTTTGCCTAAAGATAACAAGTTTTTTGTGACTTCTTCTTTTCAAGGTGTGATGAATGAGGAAAATGAAAGGTAATAATTTAAATTTTATTAATAATTTGAATTAGAGCCGCGATGGCTCAGGGGAAGCCTTCCAATGAGGCGAGCCGGGTTCGAATCCCAGTCAATACGAATTCCACATCCGGCTTGCACCGACCACATTGCTGACTTGAAATATCCTCAGTGATAGACGGATCATGGGTTAGAGTCCCCTTGTCGTCAGGCTAACCGTAGGAGGCTCTCGTGGTCTTCCTCTCCACGTAACGCAAATGTGGGTTAGCTCCATCAAAAAGTCCTCCACAAAGGCAAATTTCTCCCAATACTCGATCCAGGAGTTCCCTTGTCTTCTGGATTGGGTTCAAAATTACAAGGCTATGGAATTGAACATTAGTAGTCGTAAACCCATAAAATTAGGTCGGCTATTCGACGACGGAAATATATTTTTAATTGTTTGCTTTTTTTAGTGTTCATTATTTCTGATTTAATATACTTGTAATATTTCTACTTTGCAGACCAGATGTTCAGATCGATAGCGGAAATCTTCCCCTGTCAACCACTGTTGATGGACAGACAGTGTTAAGATTTTTTTGGTTAGATGCTTTTGAAGATCCTTTTAAACAACCTGGTAATGATAATTATTATTTTATATTTTTGTGTTTCAATTTCAACAGCTCTCATCCACAATTATATATGTATATTGCTCTAAATATTCACATAAATATTCACATTGGTAAATACAGAGATTATTGTGCTCCGGAAAAAATCCGGATTTCAAGATTTTTCGATAATTGCGATCCGGAAATTTTCAGAAATACAAAGTCCAGAAGTTTCTAGAAATCATAGACCACATTTATGTACAAAAATTCTTGGTATATTTTATTTAAAAATATTAGAACTAGAATTTATACTCGGCATTTGTAATTATTTTTTCTGGATAAATGTGGTTAAACTTATACATAACTATTAATTTTAATTATGCAGTATTTAATTTATTTAGAATTTATGTTGTGAAAATATCAATGATTTAAATTTTTAAAGACATAAGTTTTTTGAAATGTTTCATTAATGATTTTACTTAAGAGATTTTCAGGATTTTTGAGTTGGGCTCACAGTCACCCCTGTAAAAAGTTATAGCTGCTTAGAGTTTATATAGATTTAGTTTATTAAATATTAGGGGGGGGGGGAAAGGGACAAGAAGCTGTACTTAAGCATAACTTTTTACTGTTACACCAGTAATTGTAATTTTTTATGAAATATAATGCAAATAAATGTTACATTTATTTATTTAGAGTATGTTTTAACTTTCTTTTTGTACATTCTGCAGTTTCTACAATTTTAATAGGAACAAAGGTTTGCCATCCCAATAGCAGTTAAAAAAAAAATAGACAAATTGTCTTATATTTCAATTTATTTTAAGTCTATCGAATATGCTTGTGAAAGGACCACTTATTCTTATAGTATTTATTTTTAATTTTAGGCACAGTTTATCTTTTTGGGAAAATTTATGTTGCGGAAGCCAAACAATATGTCAGCTGTTGTGTTATAGTCAAAGATATTCCAAGACGTTTTTACGTTTTGCCACGTGAGACTGTAAGTATTTATTCTTAAGAAAAAATAATGTAGATTTTTCATAATTATTTAAAATGCCATTTTATGTATGTAGTTTAGAGAAAATTAATTAATAATTTTTTTTGCTTAACGTAATTATTATTTATTATTTTTTTAAAATTTAATTCATCTTTTTATTTTTATATTATTTCAGGAACAAAATAAATATGAACGCCAAAAAATAATTAAAATTATTTGGTTTTTTTTTAAAATCAAAGTTACTTAATATTTCTTTTAGTTCTTAATTATTTATAATTTTTTAAATAAACTCCGTTTAATCACAAAGTAAAGCAAGTGGAAATAGTTTTTCCGCCAGGGATACTTAATAAGTAATAAAATGAGGTACTACTGGTACTGTCGCAATAGGTATATATTATATCACTTTATTGCAGACATGGGTTATTTGTGGCCTATCTAAAAGATGTGCAAACATGTACATTTTTTTTATCAATTTATTTTTATATATTACCATGCCTGTGAGATTTTGGAAAAATAATGAAATAGTTACTTTTATTTTCATAATAAAGTAAGATTTCTAATTATTATTTAAATTGTAGGAATTAGACTTGAAGACAAAGGCTGACACTGGAAATCCTGTTTCCATGCAAGCAGTTTATTCAGAATTGAGCAGTACTCTACAGAAGATGAAGATCCCAGAATTTAGGAGCAAGGTGAGAATTATTTTCATAAGCATTAAATTGCTTTTATATCTTTATTTCCAGTTCCAAAATTCTTTCTCAGAGCATTTATTGCTACAGTAACCATAAAAAAATAGCCTTTAAATCTTCTGTTCTAATAATCAGATTTTGTAGTACTACCTTTTGATCATAATGGTTTGAAGGGATGACCTCAAATATGTGTTTGTATTAATTTGTACTGAGCTTACAGGGTGCATAGGGTTTTTATTAAGTACTTAAAGGTGCATATTTTCAATTTACGTTTTTTAAAAGCCCTTAAAGGTTCTTTTTCAATAGGGAATTTGTAAAAAGTGCTTATTTTTTCTTTTTCAAAACAATATTTTTTCTTTACTCTGTTGAGTGTCGCTATAAGTTACAAAAATATGATCTTTTTCACTATTTTCCATTCAATATTTATCGGAAACTAGTTTTTTTAATCCCTATTATGTAAAGTATTTTTACATTTTGTGGATTTTATGTTTATAAATTAACTTTAAACAAAAGAAATTTTTTTTTTATTACCTGTGCATATCCTAATTATGATTTTTTTTTTAAAGAGTGATTAAAAATATTTTTAGAGTGCTTAAAAATGCTTAAAGGTGTTGTTTTTTTATTAAAAAATTTGGCTACGCATCCTGTTATAAAGTTTTGAAATCAGACAGAAAAATGTACTTTCTTGCATTCATACCTTTAAATATATATCTTTTCTTTCGACAGAAATGGATTTCAGACCATCAAAATAAGGAGACAGCTAGCTCCAATCTTAAAAATATGGTCCTGATAGTTTAGCCAGGATAGCAGGCCCTTGATATTAATTTTTTTGCAATTTTCACTGTATTTAGGAAACTTTTTGAATCTACTCAAAGTACTTTGCACATACATTTATAAATTAGTTTTATCTGAAGATAATTCTATGTAAAAAATATTATTTAATAGTTATTATTTTTTTTAATAATGGAAAGCATCTTGAATTGTAAGGTTTAGAAATTTTTATATCATTTTTAAAATAAATAATATTTAATGACGAAATAAAATTTAATTTTTTAAAAGTCAAAATGTGTTTTTTTTTTTTAAATTTACATTTGTATTTTGAATCAGGATCTTCAATATTTTTCTTATTTACATTAAATTTATAATACAAATCTATAATAAGTTTTGATCAATAAGCTCCTCACAGGGTGCGCAGCGTTTTTAAAAAGTGCTTGAAGGTGCTTATTTTTGATTTGCATTTTTCAAAAACCCTTAAAGGTGCTTTTTTTCATTCAGGGTTTGTAAAAAGTGCTTAATTTTCCTTATTTTAAAAAGAGATTTTTCTTTGCCGTGTTGAATGTCGTTATAAATTGCAAAAAATGCGTGATTTTCACAATTTTCGCTGCAATATTTATCAGAAACTAGTTCATATTATCATGATTATATAAAGTTTTTGAAAATGTTTTTGAATTTTATTGAATTTATGTTTATAAATTAAGAACTTTAAACTATAAAAACAAATAATATTTATTACAGCATAGATCCTAATTATAATTTTTTTTTTTTTTTTTTNCACAATTCATTTAACCACACTTTATTTTGGCTTACCGTCGGTCCATAGCGTATGAAAGCGCCAATCATGTTACAGGTTTGATGATATACTTGCGGTTCTGCATGTGCGTATACTGAGTTGGGTTTGAAAATATTATTGCAACTCTGCTACATTTTTCAAGATATTCTCAATTTCAGATTTCAATTTCCACTCTCTGATATGAAACCGAAAAATTTCTCGATCATTTTATAACAGCTAACGTAACCAAGAAAACAGTTCTTTGTCCGAAGCTAGTTATTTTCTCATGATCATCTAAAGTCTTTGAAAATTATTTTGCATTTTGTTAAAATATGTAGTGCTTAAAAATATTTTTTGAGTGCTTAAAAAGTACTTAAGAGGTGCTTATTTTTTGTTGAAAGATTTGGCTATGCACCTTGTTAATAGATTTGGAAGTACAAAATTGATTTGATTTATATGGCAGTTTATTTTTAATTTAGAAAATTTACTGGATTATCAAATGGAGTTAAAGGAAGAATAAAAAAATACATAAGAAAAAATCATTAAAAATTTTAATCTGCCTTGAAGTTTGCAAGATTTTGTTGTTGTCTTTTCAGCACATTTTTTAAATATGTTTTTAATACTAGTGCTACCTCAAAACTATTTTTAAAAAATGAATTCAGTAATTTTTGTCACAGAAATTTTTTTTTTAGGGTTTGATTCTAAATAAACATGGGTCTCTCGACCTCTTTGTATCGTAATAATATCTCCTTTTTTCCTGATTTTTAATTTATTTTAATGATAATTAATTCTTTTTAAGGATAGTTAATTCCAGCTCTTGTACGTAAAACTTTTTATTTAATTCTATTTATGAAATTTTTCGGTTACTTCCTTGCAATGTAAAACTTACTTTTTTGTTGACAGGCTACAATCGAGTTGTTAGTAAATTTAAAAATTTAAAATAACTGAATTAAACTTTTTAAATTGGTTTGGATGTTGGACAGAAGAAAAAGCATGGCTATTTTTTAATTCTTTAGTTTTTTTAAAAAAAAATATAGTATGTCTTCAATTGTCGTTGAAGGAGTATGCAATTTTAAGATCAATAACATGAACGTAATGAGCATTGTGTATGAGTTGCCTCTACTTCTTAGTGTAGCTGAGTTTTGTCAATTAGAAACTGGGTAAGCTTCAAGCCACCTCTGGGGATAGAATCTTGTACCGTGATTTTGTAAACTTAGTATTTAAATTTTTAAAATACTTATTTGTTCAGTGATTAAATATCTATGTCATTGCAAGCTCATAGTTTTTGATTGACTTGCCTAATTTGGATAAGAATTGCAAAAGTTAAATTAAAATTTATTAGTTAATATGAATTAGAATTACTAATAAACTCAAATTAATATGTAATTTTTACGATGTTATGAATGAGTATTTTGATTAAGTTGTTATTTATATGAGATGATTATTCCTCTAACCTGAATAATAATTCACAAATTATTGGTTTCTCATTGTACAATTAAACAGGTTTCTTGTATACTATTATTCAATGTTCAATGAGATTTATATAAGTTGCATTTGAAATATAGGGTTATGTCACGATCATTTTCTTTCTTTTTTAACTTTGTTATTTTATTTTTTATTGACAGACCACAGTGAAGATATCTTTAATGATTGTGAAAATTTATTGTCTGAAGCCATTAGTGAGCCTAAGCCTGTTGAAGTGGAAGCTAATGTGAAGCAACCTTTGCCTGAAGATAACAAGTTTTTTGTGACTTCTTCTTTTCAAGGTGTGATGAATGAGGAAAATGAAAGGTAATAATTTAAATTGTATTAATAATTTGAATTAGAGCCGCGATGGCTTACGGGATAGAGTGTTCGTCTTCCAATGAGGCGAACCGGGTTCAGATTCCAATCGATACAAATTAATCATCCGGCTTGCGCCGACCACAGTGCTGATGCGAAATATCCTCAATGGTAGACGAATCATGGGTTAGAGTCCCCTTGCCGTCAGGCTAACCGTGGGAGGTTCTCGTGGTCTTCCTCTCTTTGTAACGCAAATGCGGGTTAGCTCCATCAAAAAGTCCTCCACGGAGGCAAATTTCTCCCAATACTCGATCCAGCAGTTCCCTTGTCTTCTGGATTGTGTTCAAAATTTCAAGGCTACGGAGCTGAACATTAGTAGTCGTAGAGCCATAAAATTTGGTCTGCTGTTCAACGACGGTTATAAAATAAAATAATTTGAATTATAAAAATAATGCTGATTTCTTATTAATAACTAAACTACTTTTCATTGTTTGCTTTTTTTAGTGTTCATTATTTCTGATTTAATATTTCTACTTTGCAGACCAGATGTTCAGATTGATAGTGGAAATCTTCCCCTGACAACCACTGTTGATGGACAGACAGTGTTAAGATTTTTTTGGTTAGATGCTTTTGAAGATCCTTTTAAACAACCTGGTAATGATAATTATTATTTTGTATTTTTGTGTTTCAATTTCAACAGTCCACATCCACAGTTATATATCCATATTTTACTCTAAATGTTCATGTGTTGTTTGTTGATAAATAGTTTTAGTTGCTTAAAGTTATTTATATAGATTTATTTCATTAAATATAAGGGGAAAAAAAGGAACAAGAAGCTGCACTTAAACATAACTTTTTACTGTTACACCAGTAATTTTTTATGAAGTATAATGCAAATAAATTTTAAATTTATTTATTTAGAGTATGCTTTAACTTTCTTTTTGTTCATTCTGCAGTTTTTACAATTTTAATAGGAACTAAGGTTTGTCGTCCCAATAGTGCTTGAGAGCAAGCAGTTAAAAAAATAGACAAATTGTCTTATATTTAAATTTTATTTATTTTAAATGTATCGAATATGCATCAAGAAGGACCACTTATTCTTATATATTTATTCTTAATTTTAGGCACAGTTTATCTTTTTGGGAAAATTTATGTTGCTGAAGCCAAACAATACGTCAGCTGTTGTGTTATAGTCAAAGATATTCCAAGACGCTTTTTTGTTTTGCCACGTGAGACGGTAAGTATTTATTCTTAAGAAAAAATAATATAGATTTTGCATAATTATTTAAAATGCCATTTTATGTATGTAGTTAAGAGAAAATTTATTATTTTTTATGCTTAATTTAATTATTATTTTTAAAAAAAAATTTAATTCATCTTTTTATTTTTTATATTTGAGGAACAAAATAAGTTAATTAAGTGTATTATTTAAGTGTTTTTTAAAATAAAATTTGCTTAATATTTCTTTTAGTTCGTAATTATTTGTAATTTTTTGAAAGGAACTCCACTTAATCACAAAGTAAAGCAAGTGGAAACAATTTTTCTGCCAGGGATACTTAACAGGGGCCTGTCTAGGTTTTTCTGAAAGGTGCCTATTTTGTGAAAATTAAGACATAATTTGTGTAAATTAAAAATTATATTAAAAAATCAATACAAAAATATGGTAAAAATATGGATTTATAGTTTCTTACGGGATACAAAAATAAAATTAGAAGAAAAAGTATTTTGTGAAATTACCATTTTTCCTAAAGTTGAATTTGTGAAGGTGCCGCTAAACGGTTGTAAATTTGGCCTGGACAGACCCCTGCTGAATAAGTAATAAAATGAGGCGCTACTGGTACTGTAATAATAGGTGCATATAATATCACTTTATTGTAGACATGGGTTATTTGCGGCCTATCTAAATGAAGTGCAAACATATAAAAAAAATTTATTAATATATCTATATATTACCATGCCTGAGAGATTTTGGAAAAATAATGAAATAGCTACTTTTATTTTCATGATAATGTTAGATTTCTAATTATTATTTAAATTGTAGGAATTAGACTTGAAGACAAAGGCTGACACTGGAAATCCTGTTTCCATGCAAGCAGTTTATTCAGAACTGAGCAGTACTCTACAGAAGATGAAGATCCCAGAATTTAGGAGTAAGGTGAGAATTATTTTTATTACCTTATTGCTTAAATTACTTTAAATTGCTTTTATATTTTTATTTACGCTTCCAAAATTCCTTGTCAACATTTATTGTATTACATTTATTACATTTATTTATCGTCATTACAGTAACCTAAAAAAATAGCCTTTAAATCTTTTGTTCTAATAATCAGATTTTGTAGTACTGTGTTTTGATCTTAACCCCTTAACGATTGATTAATTTTCAAGAAAACGGTCATAAAAGTGCCTATTTTTTTTTATCCCTGAAAATTATATTAAATTATTTGTATGAACAATATATATATTCATTTTCAATTTTTGATTTGTTTTTAGCTTGAAATTTTTAAAAATTAAATTTTTAGGAAAAGCCAACATTCTATGACTTAATGTTGGTTTTCCAGCAAGCAAGGAAAATTTAAAAAATGTGTATTTTAAACATTAAAAAAGAATCGTATTAAACTTGCGTATAATATAAATAAAGATTAGTAATTTTTTCTTGTGTGATAAATTTCAAAGCATGGCCAATGTCACAATCTGGACAGTAGTACCGAGTTTCCTTCCTACATCTCTTATATTAGTGCTGACATCTAGTTTAAAATAAACTAACTATCTACAATTACCTTAAAAATATCCTGGTACTGTCATCTGGTGTGTAAAATGAGAAATAAAATGTTTTCCGGGCAAAGGAAATGAATTAGTTTTATTCTTATTGGCGTGTTACTACTGAACATTCCAGCCCGGAAATATCACGGGAGCGAGAAATAGAGGGCGAAACCCCACCCCGTCATTTTCAGGGGAGTGAGAAGGAAGAGGTTAATGGCTTGAAGGGTTAACCTCAAGTATGTGTATTAATTTGTTCTGAGCATACAGGGTGCATAGCGGTTTTATAAAGTACTTAAAGGTGCAAAGGTGATTATTTTCAATTTACGTTTTTTAAAAGCCCTTTAAGGTGCTTTTTCAATTCGGAATTTGTAAAAAGTGCTTAATTTTTTCTTTTTCAAAAAGATATTTTTTCTTTGCTGTGGCGAGTGTCGTCATAAGTTACGAAAAAATTATCTTTTTCACTATTTTCCATTCAATATTTATCACAAGCTAGTTTTTTTTAATCCTGATTATATAAAGTATTTTTACAATTTGTGAATTTTATGTTTATAAATGAACTTTAAACAATAGAAAGAAAATTTTTTTATTACCTGTACGTATGATTTGTTGTACATATGATTGTACATACCTGTACAATTGTGATTTTTTTACGAGTGATTAAAAATATTTTTAGAGTGCTTAAAGAATACTAAAAGGTGCTCAATTTTTGTTAAAAAATTTGGCTACGCATCCTGTTATAAAGTTATGAATTCGGAAACAAAATATACTCTCTTGCATTCATACCTTTAAAGATATATCTGTTCTTTCGACTGATGTGGGTTTTTGACCATCAAAATAAGGAGACAGCAAGCTCCACTCTTAAAAATATGGTCATGATAGTTTAGCCAGGATAGCAGGCCCTTGATATTAATTTTTTTGCAATTTTCACTGTGTTTAGGAAACTTTTTGAATCAACTCAAAGTACTTAGTGCACACACACAATTATAAATTAGTTTTATCTGAAGATATCTTAGCTATGTAAAAAATATTATTTAATAGTTATTATTTTTTTTAATAATAATGGAAAGCATCTTGAATTGTAAGGTTTAGAAATTTTTATATCATTTTTTAAATAAATAATATTTAGTGACAGGAAAAAATTTTAGTCAAAAAAGGGTTAAATAGTTTCTAGGTTATAAAATTTTAAAGAGTTGCTAACTCTTTGAACCATGAAATGGGCACTTGGTGTGTAAAAATCTGATCATTAATTTTATTAAGTGTCTTTTATCTTCTTTGTTCTTTTCACAGTATAATCAGTAGTTTTTTTTTAATAGCAACTATAGGTACTTCTAGAGGAACAGAATTCTTATGGCCTTTTTTAGGCTCTTTGAAAAAAAAATGTGTTTTTTAAAATTATTATGAACCCTGATAATGTTTGACGAAAAGTAACAAAATCAGGGGTCTCTTTAGAAGAAATTTGGGTCCGTTAACGAACCCTTCACAAAACATCTTTTCGTAAAAACGGACCCTTCACAAAATATTTTATCCTAAAAACGAACCCTTCACAAAATGATTTTTCTTTTAATTGAATCCTTCACAAATTTGTTTATCTTCTTTATTGTTTTGTTAATCAAATGAACCCTTCCCAAGGGAGAAAAGCAAGAAAGATGAATGTAAACGAATTAAGTTTTGTCTTCGGCAGACGTTTCTTCCATTATTCGTACGAAATGAATATTTTGCGTTCAGAAGTATAGGCTAAATACCAAGTATTTGCATGTTGCATCTCTAATTTAGAAGCAGCAATTGCTGTTGATTTTTGAAAATTAAATTTTTTTAATTATAATTTTACAGTGCCGAGCATAATCTTGTATCTCTTTACAATTTAAACTCCTTGAAAATTTTTTCGCAATAACCTGACCCTATTTGCACAAATTCATATAAGCAGGACCCTGGTTAATGTGACTTAACGTTTATTTTATATTCACAAATTACGAGTAATTTTTTAACAATTTTACAAAAACAGACCTTTCATAAAATGTCTGGACAGTTCCCTGAAAATATTCAAATACTTGTTAAAAGTGTTTTCGTTCTCTTGTTATTCACAGGAGGATAAATTCAGACTTACCAACAAATATATATTATATATATATATATGTGTTTTTCTTATTGACAATATGAAAAGTAAATAACAATATAACAAACAATCTAACAGTTAATCAATTAAATTGTGAAATTATATTTACTAATTTATTTTCAAAAGTCAAAATGTGTTTTCTTTTTTTTAAATTTACATTTGTATTTCGAATTAAGATCTTTAATATTTTTCTTATTTAAATTAAATTTATAATACAAATCTATAATAAGTTTTGATCAATAAGCCCTTAATAAATTTTAAACCTTTATTAAAAAACTAAAAGTAATTATTTATAAACGTAATTATTTTGTGTATCTTTAGAAATCCACGAAGAGATATGCTTTTAGTGTTACAGAAATTCCAGATGCTTGTGAATACCTTGAAGTTCAATATTCAGTAAGTTAAAAAAAAAAAATTTCAATATTAACTTACAAATATTTTATAATAATGTTTAATATTTCTGTCTCTGTTTACTAGGCCAAATATCCCTCCTTACCAAGTAATCTACGAGGCTCAACTTTCAGCCACGTTTTGGGATTAGATTCTTCAAGTTTAGAAATTTTATTATTAGAACAGAAAATTAAAGGTCCATGTTGGATTGATGTTCATTACCCTCGTAAGTGTAAATAATTTTTTATCGAGATTTGCATTTTGATGTTTTTAAAATCCAACGTCGCGATTCACGTAGTTTGTGATATACGTGATTTAAAAACTACGCATTGGAATTCGTATCCACGTGATCTGAAAATCGTACATCGCAATTCATATTCACGTGCTTATTGTATGAAGTAAGTTTTTTCTTGAACCAGTTACTATGAAGGTGTGAAATTCTTTATTAGTAGATAATTTAATCATAAATGGTATTTCAAAAAATTATGTTAAATTAGAAATATGATTGTTATATAAACTGATATTTTGATAGCGATTTTTTTCTCATAAACTTTTCAGGGTTTTTCACTTTGTATCACAATCACTCCTGTCATTTTAAAATTAATTTCTTTGATTTTTCTTTTCTCAGTGTTAAAAATTTTTTTCACTGTAACATTTTATAACTTTATGAATTTTCATTGGAAATAATATTCATTCAGAAATATGTTTCAATATTTTATTAATAATATTTAAAAAAAATTTCAGAACTTTCTTCTCCTCCTGTCAGCTGGTGTAAAATTGAAGTAAGATATTACATTTTATTAGTATTATAATATTTTTTTGGACTTTTGTATGTTAGACTTTTTGTTATTCGTAACAATTATGATATGTTATTGCTTTTTAAATTTTCACTAAATAAATTGTGCATTGTTAATATTTGACTGATTTTTTTGTCAAAAAAATCTTTTCTAGAGGTTTACAAATACAGGGCCTGTTTGTTATGGTTCCTTATATAATGAAACTTTACCTTTTTGTTTAAAAAAAAAATCCTGCTAATTTTAAGTCTTTTTTAGCTGCCAAAAATTAAGCCTGTCTCTGAGAAGTTTGATATCTGTGTAGACATTACATTAATCAACGAATAAATAGGAATATCAAAGCTTATGTTCCGTATTATTGCTTACTCATTTTTAAAAATTCATTGTGACGTGAAGATTTTTTGTTCATTCTGCAGCATTATTGTATCTTACCACTAAGCATGCCTAATAGCATGGTTTGTTTATATTATATATTATTGTTTATTGTTAGTATTGTATAACTGTATTGTACTGTAAATTGTATTTAATTTAATGTTAGTTAAAATGATTTTGTAAATTTATTAATGTAATCATGTTTATTAGAATAGTGTATATCTAATTTTAATACATAAGAAAGACAGCTCTGATTGAATTTCATTTACAAATTATTTTGCATCAAAATAGATTATTTTTTTAATTTTTAGTGATTTACATGATTTTTAATTCTTAAATTTTACAATTAAATTATGAAAGTTAACATTATTAATTCCAGGCCTTTGCAACCAAGCTGAGTCACATCGTCTGTACTGATGAAGTATTACCAGTTCCCCCTGTTGTTCTAATGTGTTTGAATTTAACTACTTCTGTACATTCGAAAAGTCAACAAAATGAGGTAAAATTTTTTTTTTATACTTAAAAATATATTACTTTTTTTTTTTTAAAAAAAGCATCAATACAGTTTAATGATTATATGATATCAACTGTACATAAATGTGATCCCCCCCCCATTAATAAATTATGTATATTTTATGCATTTTGATAAGCACTCTTAATACAATATTTTAATGTGAATCACTAAACAAGCTTTGTAGACCTATTTCATAGTAAAATGTTATGCTAATTCCAGCAATACCAACCCAGCAATATTATTTGTTTGTTTGAATTCTAGATGAAGAATTTTATACTGCTTTAATACTAACTGTTGTTTTCTAATGTATATTCAGTTATTCTGACTTTAAATTAGTAAAATGTGAGTAATTTTACTTTTAAAGGTTGTTGCAGTATCTTGTTTAGTTCATCAAGAATTTCCTTTGGATAAAACAGCACCTTCTCCTGCGTATCAGTCACATTTTTGTGGTAAGTTTCGTTTCAATATTTGCTTTTATTTTTATAAAGTACTATATGATTCGGAGTGTTTTTGCTTAAGCAATATTATTTTTTATTTGAAAAAAAATTAAGCCTGCAATTATTTCCTATTCTAAGATAAATAAACAAAGATCCCTTTGTAGCAATAAATTTTTTTTTATTAAAAATTTTTCCCCTCCCAAATTTAACCTCTGTGCCTAGTTTAAAAAGATGTCTTCTTTCGCGAACGAGAAAAGAATTAGCGCACAAGTATTCCATTATTAGAATTTATTTTCCCAAAACAAGTAAGCTCATAGTAACAATATAAATATTCTTATTCGGTTTTGGGATCTAATCAGACTGCTCCTAAGGGTAATTGAAAGAAATATCTGATTGATGTAAGCAAATATGTACTATTATTTTTTCCTATTGCTGATTTTTATGTGTAGCATATGTCCTGGTATATAAGTCCACCCCTTATTTTTCTTATCGAGATGAAAATTTTCTGGTATATCACGTGCATGAGTTGACCGCTGAAAAGAAGACAAAAAAAAGAAAAACAATTAAAAATTTCTTTAATTAAAATGCCTGAGTACGATCCCATTGCTAACATTATTGAATCGGTTACAGATGATGTTTTGAAAACTTTAAATTTTTTGCTTTTCACTGCGTTATATTTTTTTAAAAAATAGTCTTGAATAAATTATCTTAACTTTCCTTAATCCTATTTTTTTTTCTGGGTATGTTGAACTTAATCAAAGTATTGTTTCCGAAAAAGAAAAATATGATGAAAGAAATTTAATTGCATATAACATATGAAAAATTGTCCTTAAAAGAAGTGAATTGTTGCTTAGTTATTCATATATATAAATCATTGTTTAAAATACAATGATACACTATCTGGCCATTAATGACCGGACACCCCTCATTTCGGATACATGAGGTGCTAGCATCAAGTCAGTAGGGCGTAGGGCCGCCACGTGCCCGAATCGCAGCTTTAACCCTTCTAGGAAGGCTATCCACTAGGTGTTGGTACACGGCGGCAGGTATTGCCCGCCATTCCTCCTGTAACATGGCAAAGAGTTGAGTGGTGGTTTTGGAGCGTTGTGGTCTGGCCTTCAACTGGTGCTCCAAGTCATCCCAGAGATGCTCAATTGGATTGATGTCAGGACTTTTGGATGGCCAGTCAAGCTCTTGCACCTCCATTTCNAGCAATATTATTTTTTATTTGAAAAAAAATTAAGCCTGCAATTATTTCCTATTCTAAGATAAATAAACAAAGATCCCTTTGTAGCAATACATTTTTTTTATTAAAAAATTCCCCCCCCCCCAAATTTAACCTCTGTGCCTAGTTTAAAAAGATGTCTTCTTTCGTGAACGAGAAAAGAATTAGTGCACAAGTATTCCATTATTAGAATTTATTTTGCCAAAACAAGTAAGCTCATAGTAACAATATAAATATTCTTATTCGGTTTTGGGATCGAATCAGACTGCTCCTAAGGGTAATTGAAAGAAATATCTGATTGATGTAAGCAAATATGTACTATTATTTTTTCCTATTGCTGATTTTTATGTGTAGCATATGTCCTGGTGTATAAGTCGACCCCTTATTTTTCTTATCGAGATTATATTTCGATATGACTTTTACATTTGACCAGGTGTAAGACTTTTTGTGGCCTGACATAAATAAGTTTATTATGTTTTCAATTTACAATGAATTTCTTTTTTGATAAAATAGGTGTGCTTGAGCTGTGTCCTTTGAATGGTCCATTTGACCTGTTTATTACTATTAAAAATTGAAAATTTGATGTGGTTATTTATTATATTTTTCATTTGCAGTTCTAACTAAACCTAGTGATGGCATATTTCCCTATGATTTTAAGGAAGCAATCACCAAGTATAAAAACACTAAAGTGGAAAGAGTTGACTCTGAGCGTAGTTTATTAATTTATTTCTTGGCCAAATTGCAGAAAATTGATCCAGATGTCATAGTGGTATGAGATTGTTTTTATTAATAATTCACTTCATTTATGTTCGAAAATCTATTATTCTATTCATAGTCTAGGGTTGGTGTTAATTAATCTTAAAAATCATTTTGATTTTATTTGTCATAATTTATTTTCATGTTTTTTCTCATTTTAAAGAAGAAAAAAAAGACACTCACAGTTTGTAGAAGCATTAAAATACAAATGGTATACTCTGCTTGGCAATGTTTTTATTGCTTAGATAAAAATTTCAGCAATTTATTTTCAAATTTAGTCTGGAAGCAGTATGAATTGCGAATCATAAATTAAAAAAAGAAAATTTTCTAATTGGTTGAAATCATTGTAACAACTTATGTAAAAGTTTTAATTGCAGCATAATGGTTTTTTCTTCTTTTTTTTTTAAAAAAATGTATAATAAAAAAATATTAAAAATAAGTAAACTTAATATTATTAAAGGGAAAAAATTGTTCAGGCAATTATTAGGAATTTGTTAAATAGTTCTGGTAGTTGGAGCATAACTGCTTGATTATTTTTATTTATGTATTTGTTGTATTCCACATTATTTAAGAATTTTTTTTTTACTAAAAATAATATAAAACAAAAACATTTCAACCCTTTACTTTAAGCAGAAGTTCATTTTTAAAGAAATATTTTTTTATTCCAATATTTATATTAGAATTCCATGATGATGTTTTTATTGAAATAATTTAGGGCCATGATGTTTTGGGTTTCGATTTAGACGTCCTTTTGCATCGTCTTGTGACAAATAAAACACCTAATTGGTCTAGGATTGGTCGTTTGAAAAGAACTGGTATGCCTCGACTTAATGTAAGTATTATTGTACTTCAAATCACACTCAGATTTATTATGATTTTTTTTAAAATATTTTATTTGCATATTGATTTCTTCAATCTCTTACTCGATATCAATAAGGAAACTAGATTTCTTTTGTTAAAAAGCATGCATGTTCAGAGAAAAATTCATTGCATAGAATCAACTGCTGTATAAGTTATCTACTGAAAGTCTTATTAATTTGAAATTGTGAAACATTTACTGTGTTTTATTTATTTTTTAAAACTTTAATTCCTATTCATTACATTATGAATTCATTTTAACTAATACAAATTATCTTTTATGTTGAGGCAGTATAGTGTGATGCATATAAATAAAAATATAGTTTTTATCTTAAAAAATTATCAGATTTAAAAAAAAAAAAAAAAGTTAAGTAAGGAAGAAAAAAAAACTAACTTAAATAGATTTTTTTTTTCGATAAATAAATTGAATAGATAAGCTACTATACTTTAACTACATATTTTGCTGTGAGTATACAATGAAATGAGTATGAAATAGCTAGTATTAAGAGGATAATATATAGTAGGGGGGAAAAATATTTATTACAACCAAAAAAAAAAATCTTGTTATAATTTAATAGATTGCCCAAGGTGGTTTCGGAGAAAGAAATGCTACCTGTGGTCGATTACTATGTGATGTCAAAATATCTTCTAAAGAGCTATTGCGATGCAGAAGTTACGACTTGGAAGAATTGTCCAATCAAATTCTAAACCAGCAGTTCAATGAAATTCCTCCTGAATGTGTACACAGTCTTTATTCGTAAGTAAATTTGATTTTTCAATAGCATATGGATACTATATGATAGTACAGTAATGATTGTAAAAGATAGTAAATGAATTCTATAAATGGTTTTAAAGTCTCTACTTACTAATCTGTAGTTTTGTATCTTGTTATTTCATACTTTGTAACGAGACATAACACTTATTACTTTTTATAACAATTAATCTTTCAACAAGCAATACTTGTATATAGTTTTGTTATAAGCTTGATTTGTTTTGAATGTTTTTTATGGGATATTTCTACCAAAATAAGAATTTTAAGAAAAAGTTAGCACTTTAATACTTTTAGCAATCATTGTTGAAAGCTTATAATAAAACTTGAGTTCTGCTGGCATAAATTATTTAATTTTAGAGGTTCTTCAGATTATTTATTTTATGTAGCATTAGAACATATATTTCAATATTAAAAAGGGTAAATAAGAGGTTTTAATGAGATTTGTGTTTAAATAATGTTGTAAAAGATTTGTATTAATGATGGTTAATTTTTTTTTTAAACTGAAACAAATTGAAAAAAATAGTAAAAGAAAAGAAAAAATGGAAAATTTCTTTTTTCAAATTTAATTGTTATTCAAAATTAAGATTATTTTAAGCTTCAATAAATTTCCCTAAGTGTTGTGTGCAATATTGACCTTCTTTAAGGTTACGTGTTTTTTTTAAAAAAAAATTTGTAATAGCTTAAATGTTAAAATTTCTTTTCTTTTAATAGTAAGCATGTGTTTCTGCATATTTAAATGCAGTCAAACCCGTGATAGTGGACCTTCAAGGGACCAAAATTTCGGTTCTCTATAACCTGGAGTTCACTATATCCGTTTCACAAACAATTTTATTAATGTTTCCGAACTCCTTCCTTTTATTATACATTATTTAAATAAATGACCAATAAAATGAAGTACAAAAATGTCTGAAAAATAATAGTAACAATAGTAACAAAAAATGTGTTAACCTTTTTGTATTTTATATTACTATTATATTGTGTACAAGAAAAATAATAGTAATCTTTAGCTGATGTGAAGCTGATTCAGGGAAAATATTGTCCATACTACAATTATTATACCCAATAATACTACTATTATTGGGTTGACCTTTATTTAGGAATGGGAAAGTGAGATAAAAGAAGCAACCAAGAAAATATGTTTGTTGCTACATTTTACTCTATCGATGGTTTTAAAAATCAGTGTTAGTATTTATTTTGAAGTAGACATTTCAAAATTATTAAAAAAAAAAAATTAGGAAAAAAAAATCAGACTAAGACAAAAAAGTTCATAACATCCAACCGCCTCACTTTTTTGATTCACTATATCGACAAAAAATAACATTATGTGTATAGCAAGGCATGGGACTGAACAGTTCGTTCACCATATCTCCGGGAGTTCACTATAGCGGGGTTTGACTGTATCAAAATGAAGAATATATATATATATATATATATGTAATAACAGGGCTCCAACCCTGTTATCAGTGTTGTATTTAGCTTGAAATAATTGCAGTCATAAGCCATCAGACGTTCTAAACAGGTTTATTCAAAGGTAGGCTGGTATTGCTAACAATTCACGTCCCCACTCCTGCAAAGGAGGGGGAGTGGACAAGACTCCGGACAATTCCGGAACAGCTTATCAGGATCACATCATGATGAAAAGGACACGCAAAACTATGCGTTCTTACGTTTTATACCAACATAGATTTGAAGTAAAAAGGCACATTCGTACATTCCTTGTAACCTTACGCATTAAGGAAAATCATTTCTGCTTCCTTATATGGAATTGAAAAAGGGAACGATTCTAAAAATAACTCTTCCTTTGAAATATAAATCTATTTATATTTCAATGGTATGTTTTCAGCCTTGAATTCCCAAAATAGAATCTCTCTACGCTTATTCTTTAACAAAGACATTCAATGAAAATGAAACAGTTTTAATTCTTTTATTAATACAAAAGTATTTACTTTTTGTATTACATATATATATATATATAAATATAAATTTCTAAGCCAATCTAATTTTCTGTTTTGCACAATTTTTTTCCAGGTCATCAAAACAATTGTTCAACCTTGTTGATCATGGAATGATGAGAAGTGAAGTAATCCTTAGATTGAACTGTGAACTTAATGTTTTACCACTAGCTTTACAAATTACTAATATTGCTGGTTGTGTTATGGTAAGTTTCTATTGCTAAATTTTGGTTTAAAATTTTTTTCGTATCAGAAAATTATTTTCAGATTACACAAGACAGTTAAACAACACTTATCTCATTCATCAATAAATTGTAAACATTGAAAAGAAATTTATATTTATTTCATTTTACGCTTGTAAGATATGGAAACTTGTTTCCATATTTTTAACTTTTCTGAAAAATATTAAAATTAAATTTGCTCTATATCAAATTCAATTTGATTGTTTGAAAAACTTTTGGTAAGTCTTATAATTTCCATTACAATTAATTTTTTATTGGCTCTACATGAATTAATGTATTTTTTTGTTGCATTTTTCTTTTATTATTATTTATTTTACGCGAATTTTTAAGTGGGTTTTTGTTTTGTACCATCTAGATCCTCAATTAGATTATTTTAATTTAGCATTATATAACCATTAAAGGTCACTGATCCTTAACAAGGATCAATCAACGATGAGAGAATTGCAAATTTTTTCATTCCTTTCACGTTTTTATTGATTTGTTTTAAATTGAATATGTATAATTTTACTTCATGCATAAAAAACTCTTCATAATTCTATTAAACAAACTTTTGCAGTCAATACAGGTTTTATTTGATACTAATGAAGACTTTATTAAATATTACAGTCTCGCACTTTGCTTGGTGGAAGATCAGAGCGTAATGAGTTTCTTCTTTTGCATGCATTCCACGCAAAAAATTTCATTTACCCACCAAAATATCAAGGCAAGAAATCTCAGGTAACTTTATTCTTTATTGCATTACTACTTCAAAATATTTCTTGTTTGAAAACTCAGGCATTTATTATGAATTATCTACCTCAAAGTTATTTTTCTGATATATCATAATTATTTGCTCTATGAAATTGTAGAAGACAAATAGGTATTTAATTTATTTTCTAAAGAAAAAAACAACATATTTAGAACTACTACAAAAAGAAATACTGTTGCATTTTCTGGAATGTAAGTCAACTGCTAATTTTTAGTTCTTAAACTGGAAATTTTTTCATGCATTCTGTATATAAGGTAAATGTTTACAGGTAAATCTATATATCTTCATTATTTATTATCAGATACATCTAGCTAAAAAAGCAGATAATAACGAGCATCTATCCAGATATTTGGATTTTACTAGTGTTTGAAATATGACAAATATTTCTAATAATAAATTATAACAGAAAATATTAAAATATCAATTATCCAATTCAAATTCTCATCAATATTGCACATCACTATGATTTTCAATAAAGTTATCCAATTTATTTAAAAAATTAACTTACTCAAATATTAGTTTATTTTATACTGAGCTGTACCCGATGTACAAAAATTTGAATTGAAGTATTTTCTTTTAAGGCAAAGAATGAAGAAGGGGAAGAAGTGGAATTGACGTCTAAAAAGGGACGAAAGAAACCAGCTTATGAAGGGGGTCTTGTACTGGAACCAAAGAAAGGTATATAAATCTTTTTGCTATAAATACTAATATAGACAGACAATACAGTAGTATTAAAACATAGACAGATATAGTATTAGTTAATGTTTCTATAAATGTTGATTAATTGTGCTTCAATTTCTATTTGATAGGTTTTTATGATAAATACATACTTCTGATGGATTTCAACAGCTTGTATCCATCTATAATCCAAGAGTATAACATTTGTTTTACAACCATTCCAAGAGTACCCATTTCAGATACTGCTGAAGAGGTAAGATGATTATTATTATTTTTTTGAAAAAAGGTGCTTGTAGAAAATAATATATTTTAATTATGTATAAATTTTTTATGTGAACTACTTTTAAGAAAGATAAATCTTATTTTTAATAAATAAAGTGAATACAAATAAAGTGAACTCCCAGATGTAGTACACGAAATGTTCGCTCCTGTGCCATGCTACAAGCGTGTAGTGTTATTTTTTGTTGATATAGTGAACCAAAAAAAGTGGGGAAGTTGGATATTATGAACTTTTTTCTGTCTTTGATTGATTTATTTTCTTTATTTTTTAAGTATAGTAATAACTTTGAAATGTCTATTTCAAAGTAAATACATATACCGATTTTTAAAACCATCCATGGCAGGGAATGTAGCAATAAGTATTTTTTCTTGTTTGCTTCATTATTGAATTGGTCCAACATTCAAAAAAGCTGCAAGTCAAAGCAGATGAATTTATTGAGCTATTTGGTGCAACTACTTTTATGTGCCCGAGTGCCTTGGTAGACAGGTTTAAAAAGCTGAATAATATAAATTCAGGAAAAATTATCAGAGAGCCGGGAAATATTTCCATATCTGAGGTGGAGGGTTGCTAATCACCTAAAGATCAGTATTTTTTTTTTTTTATCCGCAAGAGGAAGAGAAATAAAAAATAAAAGTTACATTTTTGTTGCTACGCATTATTTTTCAGTCTTTTTTGTATTTAATTTTATTGGTCATTTATTGAAACCATTAGTTAAAATTTTTTGCAGGACGGATATAGTGATGTCCCGGGTAACCGAAATTTCGGTCCCTTGAAGGTTCATATAGACTTTACATATATAATTTTTTTAAATTCTAAATTAACTCTAAGAAAATTTTTTTTTTTTTTTTTTTTTTGCTAAGCGAAAAAAAAACAGAGATAAAATAAATCAAGATTAATAAATTGATGCTGTTTTAAATTCCTATTGTCTTTCTAGTAAACTCTTATTAAAGATAATTATTTTCATTCAATTTAGCTCATCAAAAATGCTTTTTTATAATAAATTTTTTTATTGATATTAAAATAAAATGTTTTGCTTTTTTTTATAAAAAATACGTATTCTGCTAAATCATTACTAAAGGCACATTTTTTTAAAAAAATATAAGAGTTTAAAAAGGCTTAAAAATAAATGTATTATCCGTTGAATTGTTTCTTAAAATTTTTATGTAAAGAAAGAAACACGTAATTAAATTGTAATGTACTAACTCTTCTAGTAATTTCTAAAAACTTTTTTTTATTTTTTGTATATGATATGATAATTTGTGTGTATTATTGAATAAGAAGAAATCCAAATATATTTCAAAATCTTTCAACTTAAATAATTTATTATTCAGGATGAACTCCAAGTTAGTCTTCCAGATTCGGGAGCTGATCCAGGTATATTGCCTGCTGAAATCCGAAAACTGGTTGAAAGCCGAAGGCAAGTTAAGCAAATGATGAAGGCTAGTGATATCACTAAAGAGCGATATGCTCAAGTAAGTTCTTATTTTTTATTATCATTTAAATAATGAATTTGTGTATCATAACTAGTCTACTACTAAATTTAGAAGTATTTGTCATCATTTAGTTCTAATTTTTTCTGCGTTATAGCTTTAAACATTTTTCAAGATCTTTGTTTTTTTACATATGTAGTGTTTTAATTTTATTCTCTTCAAAAATATATTATTTTCATACATTGATCCAGACATGATATTTAAAGTTAAAATTTTATATAAATATGGCAAAAGACTAAGTCAAAGTATATACATAGGGGAAGATGTCTAGCTTCAGTTGACGTAGTGTAAACTGGTTCCCCAGACTTAGTGCGGTCCCTGTTTATAAAGGAAAGAGCAACATTTAGGTGCACAGCACCAGGGTAATAATTTATTAAGAAGTTCGTGTTAAATAATCTATTATCAGAACTGAAATTTTTCTTCAATAATTTCAATGGGATCATCCATATTTTCGATGACTCTTCTATAATTCTCATTGATATTTAGATAAAATATTGATAATGCTAACTTTTATTTGAACTGGAAATCATCAATATCACGTTTTCCAGCTCCACCTTTGCCACTCTCTGGTAGGCTTTCTATTCCCTCAACGATATCAAAGTAATTTTTTTTTTACGGGAAGCTTGTGTCTATTTAGTATAATTTGTCCATGTAGTATAATTTGTTGAATTGGGGGAAATTAGTAGCCATTTTTACTTTATAAGTAGCCATATTTACTTTATAAGTAGCCATTTTTACTTTAATGTAATCGAAATACTTCCATAAAATCAGAATTTCTTTAATCATTCAGTCCCTCCGTCATTCAGAATCATTAATCCACATGCATAGAAATTAGCATTCTCCAATCTTGAGTTATGGCATAGCAGGCCCATAGCCCTTGTTTCCCTTTAGATTGAGAAAACAGTAGAGTGAGGAGATTCAATAACTGAAGTGAATAATGGCTAAGTCTTAAATAAATTGTAATTTATTAGTCTCAAAATGTTTAGGGTAAAATAACAGCTACTTAAAATTATTGGTATACTGGCATATCTGTTTGAGAAAGAACATAGCCGTCCAACATCTTCTAAATTGTGAACATTGGTAAAACCACTGAAGTAATTAGTTAAAAGTGTAAACCTAAGTTGCTTCAAAACTCCTGCTTAAATATACAACAAAGTACATTCTAGAAGCTTTAGACAGAAGGTTGAATTATCCGTCATTTGGCGTGAGTATTACGCCGCTCTCGAACCCAGATTCATTTAAGCCAGTCAATCTAATGCAGGAAAGAAATATAAACAAAGACATCATTAAAGTAAAGTTATTATATTTTCTTCATAGGTTAAGATGAAACTTAATTATTAAATTTAATTGTATTGAATTAAATAATAAAATTAATTGAAACTTAATTGTATTGAATTAAATATTGTTAATAGGGAGAACTAAATAATTCAATATAGGGGATGGGATTTAAATAGAAATATGCCAATTGCCAACATATTTGACATAACAGTTTCTTTAAAAAATTTTATTTTTAATTTACTAACTCAGTTTTATTATTTGTTTATGAGCACAATATTGTTACTGTTTTTAGATGGATAAATATCTTTTTTGAAAATATAAATGAAAATTTCAATAAAAGTTAGTTTCAAATTATATTCTAATTTATGCAATAAAAAAATGCTGTTGCAAATAAAAAAAAATGCTTCAATTTTGAATATCAAAAATCCTATGTGAATTATTCAATTTCCTATCCAATACATTGGAATGTCCCATATTCTGAATCTTCAGTAATTTGGGAAGTTTGGATAATAGGTCTTCAATTTAAAGACTTATATTTATGAAAAATCTATTTCTTATTACATAATTTTTCTGCATATAAGATTTTGTAAAAGATCTCAGACGATGAAAAAAATAAGTATTTATTTATTTGTTTTTAAAAAAAGAAAGATATTTGTTTATTTTGATAGTAAAAAAGTGTCCAGAAAATAGATTTCTCTGGAGGAAAACAAGCATTCATATGAGACTTAGTACTTTAGTTACCGTTCTAAAATTAATACTTTAATGATTTTTTATTTTATTTTAAAAATATAATTTTTTCCTGTAGTATGATATCAGACAAAGAGCCTTGAAACTTACAGCGAACAGTATGTATGGATGCTTGGGCTTCACGCATTCAAGATTTTATGCCAAGCCTTTAGCTGCCCTCATCACACGCAAAGGAAGAGAGGTTTGTTTTGTTCCAATGCTTTATTTTCCTTCCTTTTTCAAACGAAGTGTTTTATACCCGCTTCTTTGAATTAGTTCATTTTAGTAATGATTTCTATGTGTAGATTAAAACATAAATTGGTGTTCAATATTGAGAATTTGTATTCAATATTAACGATTCTCTTGTAAGTGCAAATGTTCGCATTGTCAATGAAATGAGTAAATGTAACTTCTTATGATCAAAGTAAAAGAAGATAAGTGTTTAAATTTTTATTTATGCTAGAATAGATTATTCAACATAATCTGAAATTATTGGTTTTAATGTTTAATCTTGTACTAAAAGGCCGACTATCAACGTTTTAAAAGTTTTTTCCTTGATTTCCAAGAGTTATGAAATTTTGTTTGCAGTGAATATTCGAAAAACGGTATTACTTAAATGTTACTTTTTTTATTTAATAATTAATTCATTCTTAATATAAAAATATAACGTATATACCTATAAAACTAAGTTGTAAAAAGGGATAAAATTGTGGTAATATGAATTTTGTTAACATTATATGTACTATTGTGTATCTGATAGCTAATTAGGAAAGTTGGCACTTCTGCTTACATCTTATAAGTATTAGTTATTCACTAAGACGAAATGGTAAAAATTGCTTGATTGTAAAATAGAAGAAAAAAAAGAAAAAAAGTCTTGATTGATCCATTTATAAAATGAGAAGCTGATGTTGTTCATTGTGTATTAAATTAATGTATTCAAAACTCTTATGCTTGGTTTTAAAATAGAACTAGGATAAAAAAAAAATGAGAACTGCTTGTTTGAATATTTATATATTATCTGTTCTTAAGTGGTTTGTCAAATTTAAATGTTAACCAGTGTTCTAAAATAGAATTTAGTAATAAAATGAGATGCTGACCTTGTTCATAGAGTATCAAATTGATATATTCAGAACTTTTAAAAAAATATTATTCATTATATTTTCCTATTTATCGGTAAGAAATGAAACAGTCTTTACACCAACTTCTTTATTAGTTCACATGTATGTTATATTTCACAGTATCAACTAAAATTATTATGATGTAATGCAAGAGATTAAATACTAAATGGTATTTTCAATTTCTTCCAGATTTTATTGAAAACTAAAGACTTGGTTAAAAAAGTAAGTTTGTTACAAAATATGTTGAGGAAAAAACTTGAAAATTTTGATGTGCACTATGATTAAATGTATCCTTTTTTATACCTAGATGTGCCTTGATGTCATTTATGGAGATACTGATTCAATTATGATTAATACAAATCAGACAGAACTAGATGAAGTTATGCAATTGGGAAACAAGGTAGTGATTGTCGAAAATTGCTGAATAAATTTGAATTTCTTTGTTGTGTACAAAAATGTATATTGTACAGAGTATCAATAAATATTGATTGTTTAAGCTCTAAAAGAAATTGCCACATAGTTATAGTTAATAATATGTTTGTCATATATTTGTCTGTGATTTTGTATTCCCTACCTTTTAGTGAATTATCAATTCTTTGGTCATTAAATTTTTATATTGGAATTGTTTTAAAATTTGATACTACTTATCAGATCTATTCGCGATAAAGACGGTCGTCTCATGTTCAGATTTAAGGTTTTAATAATTTTATTTATAAAATTATCTCGTCTTATTGTTCTGAAAGCAATTTTTATCTGAAAATGTTTCCATTATTTTATTTTACATTTAAAATGCATTTATTTAGTTTTAGTTCTCAGAAAGAAATTACTATTTGATTAATTTGTGCTTTGTTTTTATATTGGAATTATTTTAAAATTTGATAAAACTTAGCAGATCTATTCGCGATAAAGACGGTGGTCTCATATTCAGATTTAAAGTTTTAATAATTTTATTTATAAAATTATCTGGTCTTATTGTTCTGAAAGCAATTTTTATCTGAAAATGTTTCCATTATTTTATTTTACATTTAAATTGCATTTATTTATTTTTAGTTTTCTGAAAGAAATTACTATTTGATTAATTTGTTTCATTTGAATGTTGCTGGTCTTTTTTATTGAAAATGAATATGATGAAATCCTAATTTCATCGGAAAAATTCTGATGACGCTCAGTTATCTGGTGATTCCTCTTATTTTTATTTTGTTATGGCGTAACTGTAATGTAATTTTAAAGATGCTGATAAGAATTTATAAAACATGCGTTTCAGCAATCTGTAAAGAAAACTGTTTGGTTAAATTAATATATGCTTCAACTGCTTTCCTTTGTGTTATGTAAGAAAAAATTATTCATTATTTTTTCCCCATTTAGGTAAAAGCAGAAATAAATAAACTTTATAAACTGCTGGAAATCGATATTGATGGTGTGTACAAGCCCATGCTGCTCTTAAAGAAAAAGAAATATGCTGCGTTATCTGTGACTAATCTACCAAATGGCCAGATAGTAACTAAAGAAGAAATCAAAGGTCTGGATATTGTAAGAAGAGACTGGTCTCAGTTGTCCAAAGATGCTGGACAGTGAGTTATCAATGCTTATTTGTTTAATTCATAATTTGTTTCTCTTTCAACATTTTCTTCACTATGTTTAGTGCTGTTTGAAGGTTAATCGATCAGTATCATTAGCACTTTCTCTTCTATATAAAGCATTTTTTTTTAAAAAAAAGGTGTTAACTATTGAACTAATCTAGCAAATTTATGAAGAAAAAAATCGTTTAGCAAAAATTATTTCCTAAATTAAATCTGTATGATGTAAAATTAGGTTTCGCGTTTTAACCCAAACTCATCTCAAAATTGCAAAGTTTAAATTTGACTTAATTTTAATTTCAATTGTATTTCTTTTTATTAGATAGATTTTATTATTTTATCTATAAAATTTGCTTATAGAACTTTAAAAAATATTGTACACATTCTTAATTTTTTTTATACATTTTTGCTTTTATTATTAAAATAGATCCTCTTATTTAATTTATTTATGAACTATTATTAGAGTTCTTTTAGCAGATAAAAAGTATTTTTACTAAAAAATTTTTTTAAATAAATACAGGTTGTCTAGCAATTTGGATAGTTAGGAAAACTCAGGAAAATTTTTCATTTCTGATAAAAAGTGATTAGCATTTCTAATATAAAGAAATTTTAAATTCTTAGGGAAAAAATAACTTTTCTAATACAATTTCAAATCTTAAATTTTTTATTATTTAGAAAAAAAAAATATTTTACTTTCTTGTGCAACTTTTTTTTGTATACTCCAATACTTTTTCTTAGGTCCAAAATTTGTTGTGATGTGTTATCACATTTAGTTGATGTGTTGTCACATGATGTGTTGTCACATTTAGTCAAAGCTGTTCCATTAATTTTTAAATATTTAGTAAAACGGAGAATTGTTGTTCCAAGGAAAAAAATTAATTTTTTAGTTCAAAATCTTAAATTTTTTTTCAACACTTTCTTCAAATAAAAAAGATATTTTGTTAGTCTGATGTGTAATACAAAAACACATTTTGTCAAAGTTGTTATTTTAATTTTTAAATATTTAGTAAAACTGAGAGTTTTAGTATTATGTGCAATCTATTCTATGCATATTTACTAATTTAAGGAATACACACTTTCTAAAATCTATTTTTAGGTACATAATCAAGGAAATTCTTTCCAACAAATCAAAAGATGAAATTGTTGACAATATCCATTCGCATTTAATTACCTTAGGTGAAGATGTTACCCAAGGAAAGAAGCCACTGACTGATTATATTATTTACAAAGTATAACTATATATTTTTTAATTATTATTTTTTTATTTTTTGTAAATTTAGTAATTGTGAATAGATTTTCTATTAAGAAACAATTTTGTATTGTAAATTGTTTTAGTAAAAATGGTTTTGCTTTAACTATTTATAAGACTGTTGGAAATATACTTCCCACCAAATTTCTTAATTTTTCTGTGTTGATAGGAAGCTATTTTTCCCTTATTATATACGTGGCATTTCCTGATAACTTAGTAATTACAAAAAATATATTTGTCTATAGAGCTTCGTTTTCATAAATGTGGTGAACAGTAAAGGTTAGGGTGGAGTCAAAAACCGAAGCTAACACCGCGGAGCTATTTAAGTGAATGAATGAAATGAAATGAATTAATGAAAAATTGGGCTAAATGAATTAATTTTCATAAATCAATCTATTCTAAAAAATATTTAGCATAACTAGTAAAAAATAGTCCTATAAAGGGTTAACAGTAAGTATTGAGTTTTTTTAAAAAAAAAAGAAAATTTAATGCATATTAGTAATCTAATTGCAGGTTCCTTAAATATAATCAAAATTTTATTTTGCCTCAATTGTGAATCGTTTTGTCTTATGTGTAAATTAAATATTAAAGTTTTTTAATTTTATTTATTTACAGCAATTGACTAAAAATCCTGAAGAGTATGCAAATAAAAAGAATCTTCCTCATGTTATGGTAGCTGTTCGAATGAACGAGAAAGGAGCTAAGAAACTGAAGATGGGTGATACTGTTGGATACATAATTTGCTTGGTAAACTTTTTGAGCTTTTGCTTAGCAACAATCTTCAACCTTTAACTTTAGAGGACCACACACATATAAGTAGAAATAAACAAATTGGAATCAACATGGAGGTTGTTTCTAATTTATTTATTTCTACTCCTGTATGATTTCTCTACCACATTGCATTGTAGGGAGTAACTCATGATAAAGTTCAAAATGTTGAAATTCTGAGTAAAAATAATTTTTCACTAGGAAGTTAAGTCATTGTTACATTGTAATTTTTTTTACATTGTTTCAAACAGTACTTGTTCTAAGATAAATAACTTCTAAACAAAGCCATTGATTTGAAAAGGAGATATCAAAGCGAAGTAATGTGTGTCAAAATTATGATTGAAACATTGTTTTTTCTTCTTTTTTTTTAGGAAAAAATTTGATATTTAAAAAAGTTAAATTTATAGGGTTAAATAATTATTTGATAATGCTTTTAGTTTTTGGACAAATATATCAAAAAATCACATAACTGTAATCAGAATAATTTTATGCAATAGTGGCGTTGTATCCTATATCTCTTTCAGTTAGACAAACCATCTTTGCTATTCTCAATGTGGACATATATTTAGACATTATATTACTTAGACATTATATACTTAGACAATTTGTATGGTTAAGTAATAATTTGATAATGCTTTTAGTTTTTGGACAAATACAGTAAAAGATCACATCAGCGTAATCTGAATAATTTTATGCAACAGTGACTTTGTATGATATATTTCTTTCAGTCAGACAGACCATTTTCGTTATTCTCAGAAATAATTTACTGTTCTAAAATATAAAGGGATAAAAAGTATTGCAGTGATGTTATATCACTTGTAAGATAATACATGAGGTTCTTGGAGTAAAACACATCATTTAAATATTTTTAATGCTTTTAGTTCTTGGACAAATTCGACAAAAGATCACATCACTGTAATCAGAATAATTTTATGCAACATTGACTTTGTACAATATATTTCTTTCAATCAGACAAACCATTTTCGTTATTCTCAGAAATAATTTACTGTTCTAAAATATAAAGGGAATAAAAAGTATTGGAGTGATGTTATCACTTGTAAGATAATACATGAGGTTCTTGGAGTAAAAAACATGATTTAATTTTTTTTTAATATGAAATTTATGTACTAAGTTGTGCAAAATATTTATTACATATTGTAGCTTCTTTAATATTTTTCTTTATATTTTTTTCAAAGGATGGGTCTGACCTGCCTGCTACTCAACGAGCTTACCATCCTGATGAGTTAAAATCAAATGAAAATCTAAAAATTGGTAAGAATAATTTTCTAGAGATGTAATGGTATGATCTGTCTCTGATTTTTATGAATTGTTTGTTTAGTTTTGAAAGATTCCAAAACATTTGTGTAAGTTACTTAACTTGAAATCAATAAGAGAAAACCTTTCTTGCACATAAATGGCTTCTTACATTAAATGATGGAGTTAGATAAAGGGAAATTAAAAAAAATTTCCCGCTATGTTAGTGATAAGAAAAATTTTGCTGGCTACACATATTAGTTCAAAGATAATAATTCCAACTACATCATGATAATAAATTGATATAAATTTGAACTAGTTAGAAAGTATTATAAATTCTGCCTTTCATATTCTGCCTTAACATAGTACATTTGCTAGAAGGCTAAATTTTTGCAAGAGTTTGTACTACTTGACTGTCAAAAAGTTTGTTTTCCACTATTTTAGATTTCTTTTTCACCTGTTAGAATTTTAAGAAAATCAGTTCCTTAAATATTCTGTCAATTTAAAAATTTTCATTGCTATTTTTACAGATGTTATGTATTACTTGACTCAACAACTACATCCTGTTATTTCCCGATTATGTGCTCCAATTGAAGGTGCCGATGCTGCTATGATAGCTAAGTTATTAGGTTTGTAACTCAAAAGTGTAAAAAACAATATATATGTGTATATATACTTTCATTATATTAATTTGAAATATTACATTTTTGAATCAGCGCTTTATTCTTTACAGGATTGGATGAGTCTAAATATCATGCAATGGTTAGAAATGTTGAAGAGGAAGAAGATAAGCTATTAAATCCATCCTCATTATTTGATGATAAAGATCGCTTCAAGGATTGTGATAAACTTGTCTTGAAATGTCCCTCTGCACAGTGCTTCCAAGAATTCATTATTGATGGTCCTCTGAGAATCGAGGTTAACTTTTATTTATTTTTTACTTCATAAATATTGCTTGTCTTAACATATTATGTGTATGGATTTACTAAATTTTTTTATCGAACTTTTATGCTTTGTTTGAAACCTGTGCAATTATTATTGTATGTTTATATATGGTGCGTAGCTTTTTTAAAAAGTGCTTAAAGGTGCTTATTTTCGTTTTTTAAAAGCCCTTAAAGGTGCTTTTGTATTGATTGTTTTTAAAAGTGCTCAATTTTCCCTTTCTGAAAATGAGATTTTTTTCTTTGCCACGTCAATTTTCAGCACGTAATGTGCAAAATAATAAATAAAGCACGTAATGTTATAATAAATATTATGATTTCATAGTCAAGATTATAGTGTTACTATTGAGTAATAAAAATAATGATTTTTTAGAATTTCTGTAATAATCTGTTTGAAATAAGTTAAACCCCCTTAACTACCAAGATTTATAAAATTTTCTTGTTTGCAACTAATTTATGATTTTTTCCTGCACTTTAAATATAATGTAATATACTACATAATGTAATTTTATATAATTATGATCCGAGAATTATGTAAATTAATTCACTGAACTATATTTTCCAAACCTCATAAAATTTTCAATTTGTAAAATATCCACTTATTTATTTTAATGTTAATAATTTTTGTAGTGATAAAAAACATTAGTATATAAAACCTTTTATGAACATAGTTCAAATTTATTGCGTACAATTTTGATACTGTTAATTTTTAATCTCTATTTTGTAAAAATGTATCTGATACTTCACAATTTAGTTTGCTATATTGGTTGTTTTAATTGTAATTTAAATTGAAATAGCTATTTTTCTCTTTTCATAGCCTGAAGCAATCAATTTTCAACTGGATTCTTGTTTAAAATGTAAAACCAGGCTGACTCAGTTTGAAGCAACTCTTAGAAATCAACTTGAAAAAATAATGAAAAGTTATATTTCTCGATATTATAAGGTACATAGTTTTTTTATTTTTTGCTTGTTTTTAATTTAGAAATTATAATTGAAACTTTAAGCTTTTTTTGTGTTAAGAAAACTGCCTTTCAAGTATAGCTTTTGTAAAAAAAAAGTGTCTATTATTAAATGTTTAATGTAAGTTTATATTCCTACTTAAGAGAAAAGTTTATAGTGTTATTTTAAGTAATTAGCAAATGCATACATAAGAATGTAAACTTGTACTAAGAAAATAAATAATTAAAGCTTTAATTTTATTACAAAATAAAAATATATATGACTGCGGTTAAATATGAAGGAATCAGTTTCCTTGATTCTTTTAATTTTTAAATCTCGTAATATATATTTCATATGTATTCTTGATTAAATTTAATATTGATATATTACAAAAAGTTTAAGGTTTTTTTTAAATGATTTTTTAATTAAGCATACCTGCAAAATCTCCTGTTTTTTAATGAAAACTCCTGTTTACTCATATATTCTCAAATTTCTCCGTATTTTTTGAAGAAATTTAAAAAAAAAATTGCAATAAAATATCCGCCTATGGCAAAAATACTACTTTTATTCTTCAACAAATGGTGCTATTGCTAGTACTACAGTATGATGAGTGCTTATAGTTTAAAGAAATATAAATAATGGTTTAAAAAATCTTCTTTAGAGTAAGCTTTATATACATATATTTGGCTTCGCTAAATGTAAATGCTTATATTATTTCCAATTTTGACTTACATGATTATACATGCTGTATCAAAACTTCACTCATAGCCCAAAAAATTTTGCTCGTAAAATCTCTGACATTTTATATCTTCAATGTTGGCAGGTATTATAAAGGTTTAATTATTATTATTTTGCTGCACAGGGAAAAAAAATTCAAAATATTTTTTTCCATATTTTTTTAAAAACCAAAATTATAAATTTTTCTTGTTTGATATTCAGGGATGAGATTTTTCCGCTTTTTAGCGGATTTNGCTAAATGTAAATGCTTATATTATTTCCAATTTTGACTTACATGATTATACATGCTGTATCAAAACTTCACTCATAGCCCAAAAAATGTTGCTCGTAAAATCTCTGATATTTTATTTCTTCAATGTTGGCAGGTATTATAAAGGTTTAATTATTATTATTTTGCAGCACAGGGAAAAAAAAGTCAAAATTTTTTTTTCCATATTTTTTTAAAAACCAGAATTATAAATTTTGCTTGTTTGATATTAAAAGGAAAACAATTTACCATGTTGAAAGCCTTGTGTTTAAACTGACATTATTGGCTTTTTGTTTTCAAATAATAAATGAAATGGAATTTTAACTTTTTATGGAAATTGTTTTGATCTATATAAATCTCATATTTTCAGTTAACCTTAATTTGTGATGATGTTGGATGTGCCTACCAAACAAGGAAGATGCCCCTTGTGTTCTCTAACGGTGGGCCAATGTGTCCTTCTTGTCGAAACTCCAACCTTCACCTGGAGGTTAGAACATCACTTTTATAATAGAAAAAAAATGAAATGAAAAAATTTTCTAAATTTTATTACTTTGTGTTGTACTAAATTGTTTCTTGCACTATTCTTGTTATTATGATAACTAACACATCCCTTAAAGGTGCTTTTTTGATTCAGGGTTTGTAAAAAGTGTTTGATTTTCTATCTCTTAGAAAGAGATTTTTCGTTGCCGTTGCGATTGTCATTCTAAATTGCAAAAGATGTATGATTTACACAATTTTCTCTGCAATATTTATCAGAAACTAGTTATGTAAAGTTTTTGATAATGATTTTAAATTCTATTGATTTTATGTTTATAAATTAAGAATTTTAAACGATAGAAAAAAATAATTTTTATTACTGCACAGATCCTGATTAATTCTTTTTTGGAAAGTGATTAAAAATATGTTTTGAGTGCTTAAAAAGTAATTAAAAGATGCTTATTTTTTGTTGAAAAATCTGGCTATGCACCCTGACTAATATTTTTCATTGTTAATTGTAAAGGTTTTAGTTACTAAGAAGAACAACACACAAATACAGTGTCCTTATATTTAATAATAATATTTAATTTAAATAATGCTCCCACTTTATAATACATAATAATACATCTGTTTAAATTTTTCAGATGAAATGAAATCTGTCCCAATCCATTTAATTAAATCAATAGATAAGAAATGCTGATTTTTATGAAGGGTCAAAATTTGTTTAAAAGGTGTTTATTAATGCCGAAGTTAGCTATTTTTTCTGCTTTTAAGTCTGCCTACGTTCATAATTAAAAAAATCTCAGGACATTTGTCTCCTTATATGTACAAGGATCGCACAACCTAGAGACCCCTCGATAATGTTTCCTCTTCTTTTTACCACTTTAGAGTTAGTTTGTAGCTTACCTAATATCAGCATGTCTAGATTAAGCTGAAATTAACATAAACTATTTATTCGAGTAATATCTCTTGTTATAAAAATGAAAACGTATTACAATTTTGAAACTATTGACTGCAAATTATTGTACATATCATTAAATAATTTCTTTCATGAAAAAAAATGTTAGGTCTTAGCTTTTTTTTTAGAAATTGCATTAAAAGATTGAATAATAAATTGAATACTAATGAAAATTTTGAAAAACTATATGAATGTGTAAATTTATATAATAGTTTGATGTTTTTAGTATCAATTTTATTGCATTTGCATTAGAGCAATGTAATTTTAATGAATGTAATCTTAAAAAATAAACAAATGTTAATAAACATGGCAAAATTTTTTGATAAGTTTATTTATAATAATCAGTCCACTGTTTTTTGATTTTCGTTATAGTATGATTTTTCTAATTTACCTAGCCCCTAAAATTTACTTCTCACTAAAATAAATCCGCCTCAATTAAAACTGCATCACATTTTATTTATTTATATATTTACAAAGACATCATAAGCTCAAGTTTCCTGCAGTGGACTGATCATAAAGACACGGTTCTCAATAGAATGCTGAAGTCAAGCATCACTGTCTGTGGTCAGTAAGCAGGTGGGTGACCACTTTGATCAGCCTTCATAGGGACTGATGGTGCTCGGCATTGGTCCTCGTTAAACTGTTCTACCATAAAGTGCACAACTTCGTGCGCAGGTTGTCGGGCTACCAAATCAGAGGAGGTATCCCCTCTGGAGAGGATCACAATTGCAGTGGCAGGTCTTCAGATCATCCTCAGAAATGTTTCCTAGACCGTATCCTATAACCTAGTGCGATGTAAATAAAGTACATAAGCTCAACCTGAGTTAATTTCATAAGCTCAAACTAATACATTTTCAATAAGGTATTGTAAATATTTATTGTTATCACATTTGATAATTTCTTACACCCCTTGTACTGTCATATCCCCTTATTCTATCAATGTTCCCCTATTTTTTTTATCGATATTCTTTTTTGTCCTTAACAAAAAATTAAAATTTTAGAACACATTCAAATTAAAGTTTACACAAGCAATTTTATAATGCTTAAATACAATTAGAATTTTCATCATTTATGTTTAATTTTTAATAATTTGTATTAAAAACTAATGTAATAGGAATATTTTCAAATTATTTAAAAATAATACTGATTGTTTAACTTCATAAACAGAAAAAGCTTTTTTATATGTAGTAAAACTCTGGTCTATTAAATTTATACTACAGTACAGAACCCATTATCTGGAAATCAGAAAACCGGAAAACCAAAAAATTGGAACGAAATTCGGTAAATTTTCCCGCCATTTAAAAAAAAAAAAATTTTCCTCGTAAAATTTTAGGATTTTTTTTTTTGAAAGATGTTTACCTTACCATCATTTTGGAATTAATCATTAGTGTATTACGTCATATATTTTTCTTTTTTTAAGATTATTTCCAACTATTATTATTTTTTTTTTAAGTTGCTTTTAACAATAAAAAAATGGCTTTTTGTAGCGATTCAGAAAACCGGAAAAATCAGTTATCCGGAATAGCGATGGTCCCGATCGTTCTGGATAATTTGTTCCCTACTGTACCAAATTATCAATTTTATGTAGAATAATGTTTGTATTTATACTTGCCTACTGCTTTTCTTCACAGTTTCGAAATATTTATGATTTTTCTTTTTTATTTCTTTATCAGTATACTGAGTCTCAACTTTACAACCAGCTTTCATATTTCCAATATATGTTTGACCATAACAAAGCTGTGAGTGGCCTGACAGATGAAGAGAAAAGTAAGTCATTAATTTTAGCAAATGTTTGATCTTACAAGTATTTATTCAAGGCTGAATGGTTGTTTAAAATTTTTACTAACTACATTTACATGGTGCGTAGCGTTTTTAAAAAGTGCTTAAAGGTGCTTATTTTCGATTTTCGTTGTTTAAAAACCCTTAAAAGCGCTTTTTTCATTGAGTGTTTTTAAAAGATGCTTGTCGTTTTTCGCCCCGTATATCGCCCCAAAAGTGTAATTTTTCGAATTGTTCTATTCAACGTTTTCACAATTCATTTCGGCGTACCGTCGGTCCTCAACATCTGAAAGCATCAATCATTTTACGTGTTTGATTAAGTACTTGCGAGTCCATATGTGTGTCTACTGAGCTGGATTCTGTGAGATTGCTTTCTCATGTGCAACTCGGCTGCATTTTGCAATATATTCTCAATTTCAGACTTCATTTTCCACCCTCTGATATCGAACCGAAAAATCTCTTGGTCATTTTATAACGGCTAATATAATCAAGAAAAGAGTTCTTTGTCTAAAACTTGTTATTTTCCTAAAATCATCTAAAGTCTTTGAAAATTATTTCACATATTGTTAATGTATGTAGTGTTTAAAAAGTACTTAAAAGGTACTTATTTTTTGTTGAAAGATTTGGCTATGCATCCTGATTTATTCAAAAAATATTTTTTCTCCCTTGACAGGACTTTTCAAAGCATCCGCACCAAAGGAATATGTACAACTTTATGACTGTCTAAAAATGTCGACTGACAAAATAGTGCATAAAAGTGCCTATGGTGTTGTAAATTTAGGAACTTTATTTCATGGTCTTTTTGAAAGCAATTCCAAGAGCTGTTCAGTAACAAAATAGTGTGTGTGATTTTCTTAAGAACTGGATTCTATGATGCTTGATTTTGAGAATGCATTTTTACAAGTATTTCTATATAATCATTTACAATATTTTTGACATGTTTATTAAGTACTTTTTTAGTAGAAAAAAATAATTTCCAAAAGCAAATATGAATTTAATATATATTTTTTATAAATTTTAGAGTTTTTCCAAAAATATATTTGCACCTGTGTTTATATCTAAACTTGTATTTATTTGTAAATATTGTATATGTATTATTTCTGTGCCTGAATTATATATACCTTTTGTATGGTTTTACTTTTTAAAAATTAAAAATATTTTTGAAAGCTTTGATTAATTTTTTCTTTTTATAGATTGGTGCATTGATGTCATTAAGTCATTGCAACAATGAATTATTCAAAAAATTCAATAACTTGATTTAAAAAAAATATTATCTAAAATATTAAATGAATAAATATGATTCACTTGTGTATAAACATATTCTTGATTCTGGCGTGTAAATACGACGTGCCATATTTATTTGCTTAATACTGAAATGAATGCGGTTTGCATAACGAGTGAGCAATGAGTTGATGCACCTGCTAGACGAAGTTGTGCGATTTGCATCGCCTACTATTTTTGTTACAAAAGTTTTAAGGTCAGCAGGGACTTGAACTGGAGACCTTTCATATAAAAATTATTATGTAAAATATTAAATGATTAAATATGATTCACTTGTGTATAAACATGATTCTGCACTAGACAATATTTTTGAAGATAAGTTTTGTTTATACTTTGAATAAATGTGCGTACAGATCGAAATTTGTTTATAAGGTACTTTTCTGGATCGAGGCATGCAAGTAATGCTGCTTATTGCATGCATTTGAAAATATTATCGTTCACATTAAATTTAGACCATCTTACAATACTCATTGGTAGAAAATGTCAACATGATTATGAGTTTGAACATATAACCTATGCAGTCTCTCTTGTATCTGGCGTAATTGTACAACATGTCATATTTATTTGCATAATACCAAAATTAATGTGATTCACATAAAAAATGAGCAATGAGTTAATGCACCTGCTATACGATGTTGTGCGATTAGCATCGCCTACTAATTTTGTTACGAAAGTTGCAAGGTCAGCAGGGACTTGAACTGGGGACCTTTCGTGTTATTATTAAGCACTGTACCACTCTATGTGATAAGAGATCTTCTGGTTTGTGGCCTTTTTTTCTTTTCTTTCGTGTTATGTCAAGTAACAATTTCGGGAATTGCAAACCAAACAAATATCTATTTTATGTCTTCTATTTTTAACATTACTCCAAGAAAGATGTCTGCTACTAAATCGATGATGCTGAACCACTTGGTTGTTGACTTTTTCTGTGCATCTGGTACCGTTTTTGAAATGAGAACGCTAACTCTGAATTATGCCGTCAGGTAAGCGGTTTCTTTGTGTAGTGCTTGGCACCTTTACTTTACCTAGATGGCACTTTTATTACTAGTTCTTGCCATTTAGAGATTATTGAGGTGACAATAGAGTTTAGTGGGCACATTGTGTGTAAAAAAATATTAAATTTTATTTAAATACTAAGTTTATAACCATTTTAATCTAAAAACGAGATTTCAGAAACTAATGGAGAATTCTCATGATTCTGTTCTATAGGCTGCAATTCATTTACTCATATTTTGTCTAATCTCTTCTTGCTCAGGAATTTTTGTATTGCCCTGAGAGTGTCAAAAGTTTTTGTTAAGTTTTCAGCCGCATATTGAAAAAATTCAAGGAATGTTATCATTCGGATAATTCAAGTGAAAGACCTATAGATAAAAGTGATTAATTTCAGGTGCCTAAAAATATTTTTTTTCCAAAAAAATAGGGCTTTAAAGACGGAATTTTTTTTAAAAAAATTCGTAAATGGCAAGTATATGTGATTTTACCTGTGTATGACAGACAAAATCCTTTTCTTTTATTCATTTCCAAGGAATTATTTTTCAATTTAAATCTGCGCTTTTGAGCTTTTAAACATGTATGTGATTTAGGTTTCTCCTTTAAATTAAATTTCAAACTGTAAATGTTTTTACTACCAAGTAGAAGTTAAAAAGGTAAATATATTTTTTTAAAGTTGTTCAGTTTGAGTTCCTATTCAACCTTTTCGATTTCAATTTTTATTTCTTATTCTAAACTCGTATATTTTTTTTTATTCTATTAAAATAATAAATAAAAGAAATCGAAACAGAGTTTTTTTAATGTGAATTTTCTATTAGGTTTCTAAATATGTATGTGTATGCAGAATTAAAGTTCTTTAAAATAATCTGGGTGCTAGTAAATTCAACTAATATTTTTATGCAAGAGTGGTGGCCATGTTTTTGAAAAATAATTTTCATATTAAATTTACTAACGTTCAATTAATAGAAAAGTACTTAAAAAAAAAAAAAAGAATACTATGAAGAAAAGAAGAAAAAAATTCTTTTATAAAAACAAAAGTTTTACTTCATTTTGGTGCATTAATTTTTTACACTAAATAGTAACATAACCTTTTTCATAAGATTTGCTTCGTTATAAGATTTGCTAATAAGATTTCGATAATAAGATTTGCTTCGTTACGTATGAAAATGTTTTCATTCTCTTACTTTAGTAGGATCGCGTTAATTTCGGCGGCAATCACTTCTTCGATAGGACGTCACCGGTTATAAAATAAAATACTTTTTTTAAATCTCAGTAGAATTTCTGAACGGTAGACACAGCCACCTGCTACTTTCAAAAACGATGGAAACGGATGTTTACGACTACTAATGTTCAACTCCGTTAGCCTTGTAATTTTAACCCTAATCCAGAGGACAACGGAACTCCTGGATCAAGTATAGGGAGAAATTTGCCTTCCTGGATGACTTTTTGATGGAACTAACCCACATTTGCGTTACATGGTGATGAAAACCTCCCACGGTTAGCCTGACGACAAGGGGACTCTAGCCCATGATCCTGATAGCCTGATGCGGAATTCGTATCGACCAACCATCGCTGGGATTCGAACCCGGTTCCCCTCGTTGGAAAGCATACGCTCTATCCCCTGATCGACCATGGCTCTAAATTTGTAAAATATATATATATATATATCCGTCGTTGAACAGCCGACCCAATTTTGAGTTTACGACTGCAAATGTTCAACTCCGTAGCCTCGTAATTTTGAACCAATCCGGAAGACGAGGAAACTCCTGGATCAGTACCCCCATAGGTGTTAATTTGTTATGGGAACATGGAGGACTTTGCGACTCGACAGATTTAACGTGCATCAGTCCCCATTTATTACACGGGGAGTCTTCGGCCGGCCTGGCATCGAACTCTTGGACATGGGCCCGGTGCCCCACCAACCTGTCTATCCCGGCCCTATATTTGTAGTATGCTGGGAACCTGTGAATAATTAAGAAAAATGTGTAAGAAAACTCGACACCAATATCTTTCTCTTCTGTGCCCTTCAAAAGATGCATAGAGAAAGCCTGAAAAAAAGTCGCACCACAATCAAATCCTTAAAAGCTATAGTGAAAAATTATCGTGTATCATTTCTTTTTTAAAGATCTCTTTTTTTTGTAATGGTTGGTAGTTACCTTATTTAAATCGCATTAGAACTACACAATGCGTTGTTAGCGACGGTTTTGGAAACATCCATGAGAATGGTCTGAAGACATGCCATCACAGGCTTTTGATTCTCTGCAGAAAGGATCTCGATCGTGAATAATAGTAATGAAAATAAATAAAACCAACTACACTTATAATCCTTTTATTCATAACGTTTTCAGCTTTCTCAAAATTCTTATTGGGTTTTATGTAGCTTTTCTTGTGATTTTATATTTAGGAAACTACTGTATTAAAGAGCTTTTAAAACATTCAATTCGGTTCATTATTAACTTCCACATTACACGAGAGAGAGATTTGATCTCAATGTTTCTAAATACTAAATCCAAATCTTTTATCCATTTTCTTTTGAAATAATATTTATTCCTAAAGTTAGAATAGTGAGCTGGCTTAGGGCCTTCCCACAATACAAAAAAGAAGGCAATCAAGAATTCGGCAGTCGTTCTTTAATAATCAAATAGATTTGATTTCAAAGATAGTATTTTATTCATTTGCAAGAAATTTTTAATCTCTAAGAATCGTAATAATTCTCCCAGATTTAGACAGCAAACAAGACGATTACAATTTTTGTTTGATTAAAAAATTTTTTAATTGTTATGCATCAATAATTATTTGTTTTTGTATAAAAATATTTTTATAACAAAATTGTGTTTTTGTATCTCTTTAATTGTTAAAAAGAAAAAAAAGTCAGTGGGGTGCAAGTGCACCCCGCTGCCGGAGCCCTTGGTACCTGTTGTCTTTGGCAGCGTTGTTTTGACTCTTCGACATTTGTATTTTAGTTTAATAGGGCAAATTTGTGGTAAGTTGGTCTGCCTACGCGAACTCACTGCTTCACGGTTTCTCATAGTTTCCAACTGCATTACTGTTAATCTGGCTAAAAACCCTCTAATTGTCCCCGATAAGTTCAAAATATCGGAATTAAACTCTTTTTCATAAAAGTGATAAGGAACACGTGGTCGAAATCTTGTATTTCTATCTTTGTGGCAAACTTTTACTTAAAAGAACTTTGAATTGGGATAATTAGCCCAATAACTGCAGAATATCGAAGTGTAACTATTTCAGTTTTTCTTTATATCTAATAAAGGAAACATATCTTAATTTGAGATTTTTATCTCAGTAAATACGTGTTACTTAGCATCACCGTCAATTAGGCTAATTATCCCGTTAATTGCGAAGTACAGTAACTTATTTTTTCTAATTGTCTCATAAAGAAAACGTCTCTCAAATTTTAGCTTTTATGGAACGTGGAAGAATTAGTGGTGAGGCAGGGCTTTGCCTTTTTCATATATTCAGATAAAAATACTCATTTTAAAAAAATGCTGCTTTTACCTCAAAAAGCTTTAATTTAACAGTTGACTGTTATTTTTTGAAAGTAGCAATGTTTACCTATTATATTTGATGTTTATAGTTCGTCTACGCACTGTGGGCCAGAACACCATGATCTTTGGCCAAAAATTAAATTTTCAACTAAAATATGTGTAGGCAGTTTTGATATTGTCCAAATTAAGTATTCATAATTATTCCAAACATTATAATTTACGTTTTGGACCGACGAGAGTACAATGTAATGATAAATATGTAAAATTCTTTTTTTTTTTAAATGTAACTTTTAAATTTTTATTTCAGAAATATATATAGGAATTTCACCTTACGTTACATTTTTATCAGAGTAATTAGTCTGAAATTATAGTACAATTTTTCAATTTGTTGGATTAGTTA